GCCAACCCAATACCTTCAGTATGGAAGGGAATATTAAGACATCTCAGATAAAGAAAGACTAAGAGAACTGTCACCAGTAGAAATACCGTAAAAGAATGGCTACAGAAATTTCTCTGAACAGAATGGTTGGAACATCATGAAGAACAAAGAACATACTACAAAAATATGGGTAAATAAAGTAGCCTTTACTTGTCTTGCATTTTCTAAATTATATTTGACAGTTGTTACAAAAATTAAAACAATGTCTGATATGATCCTAAATATATACAGAAGAAATATTTAACAGTTATATTATAAATTGGGAAGGATGAAAGACAGAAACTACAATAAGGTGCTACACTTCACGTGAACTGGTAAAATGAAGATACTAGTGGACTGTGACATATTATGTATATATAATAAAATACTTAGAATAACCACTAAAAAGCTATAAAGATATAGCCAAGTAAAAAAATATTCAGGTAACCCAGAGGAAGGCAGGGAAAAAAAAATTTAAAAGCAGAGAAAACAATAAAATGTCAGACTTCAGCCTGTAGGTATCAATTTACATTAACTGCAAATGGCCCAACATACCGACCAGAAGACAGAGACTGGCAGAGTGCATTAAAAAATGTGACATTTTATATGCTGCTTATAAAAAACTGACTTCAAATATAACGATAAAAGTAGGTTTAAAGTAAAGAGACAGATAAAGATATCTTATGAACATTAATCAAGGAAACCAGAAGTAGCTCTAATAATATCAGATAAAGTAACTTCAGAGCATATAAAACTATCAGAGACGTTATATATAATTATAGCAGAGTCAATCTGCCAACAAGACATAAATCCTGGATGTGTACATACCAAACAGAGCTGCAAAATATGTGAATCAAAATCTGACAGAATTGAAGGGAGAAACGGACAAGTCCATAATTACAGTTGGAGACTTCAATACTCTGGTCTCAAAAACCAATGAAACAACTAGGCAGAAAATCAGCCAGGACACACAACTCAACAACAGTACCAACCAATAGAATCTAAAGTGACATTTATATAACACACCACTGAACAACAGCACAATACGCATTTTTTCAAGTGTCCATAGAACACACTAAATAGACCATATCCTAGGCCACAAAACAAACCTTAACAAATTTAAAACAACTGAAATAATACAGAGCATGCTCCCGAACACAATGCAATCAACCTAGAAATCAAAACCAGAAAATCAATGGGTAAGTCTCCACTGGAAACTAAGTTATACATGTCTAATAATCCATGGTTCAAAAAGGAAGTCTCAACAGAAAAATTTTGAAATACATAAACTGGAAATGCTACTACAACACAGTAAAACTTGTGGGACACAACTAGAGCAATGCCGAGAGGGAGCAGCACTGAACACACACATTACACAAGCGAGACAGTCTCCAATCAGTAATCTACGTGCCCACCCCAGAAATCTAGATAAGGAGGAAAACAAAACCAAAGCAAGTAGAAGGAAGGGAATAATAAAGAGCAGAAATCAGTGCCATTAAAAACAGAAAAATAGCCCTGGCTGGTATGGCTCAGCGGGCTGAGTGCTGGCCTGTGAATGAAAGGGCTGCCAGTTCGATTCCTAGTCAGGGCACAGGTACATGCCTGGGTTGCAGGCTGGGTCCCCAGTCGGGGGCGTGAAGAGGCAACCTATTAATGTATCTCTCATATGTCTATGTTTCTCTTCCTCTCTCCCCCCCTCTAAAAATTAGTAAGTAGAATCTTTTACAAATAACAAAAACAAGAGAGCAAATTAAATGCAATGAAGAGTTGGTTCTTTTAAAAGATAAAGTAGACAAATCTCTGGCAAGGCAAATGAAGGAAACTGCCAATATCAGGAATGAAATAAAAAATTTTACCACAAATTCTGCAGATATAAAAAGGAAAAGAGGCATTCCTGCAAGACTTGTGATAGCAGAGACTTCCGGCCAAGATGGAGGCATAGGTGGAACTACTGTACCTCCTCGCACAACCAAGTTTACGAACAACAAAGATTTAGAAACCAGAATGCAACCAAAACAGAGAGAAAATTGAATTGTTCCAAAGTCCAACAACAAAAAACCATTCATCCAGACCGGTAAGAGGGGCAGAATCTGCGGCTGGCGGAGAGGGGTCACGGCAGGAAAAAGATGCTGGACCAACCCAGGCACGCAGGTGGCGGCTGTCAGATCCCGAATGCGGGGTGGCAACAGGCAGACCCAGTGAGGGCGCAAAGTGGCTGGCTGACTGTGGCCACTCATTCACATGTAGATAAACCAAGCAAAGAAGCTAGCAGTGAGACAGACTGCTCAGGCTAGGGCCCCAGCGACAGGTATTAGAGCCTGAAAGCACCAATTAGAAAGACTTTTGAGGCTGAGGTGCCGGGAGAGGCTCCCAGGCTCACAGAGAGTTTGTTGGAGAGACCCACAGGGTCCTGGAGGGTACACAGGCCCACACACCCAGGAGCCGGCACCAGGGGGGGACTGGTTTGCTTGGAGGAAGCTGCAGAGGGGACTGAAATCCGAGAGCGGAAAAAACGCCATTGCCTCTCTCTGACCCCGCCCCCACATACAGCGTCAACCCAGCGACTGGGTTGCCCGGCCCTGGTGAACACCAAGGGTTCCACCCTTCATACGTAACAGGCACAAACAGACCAAAACATTATGGCTCAAGAACAGCTCAAAGCCCCAGAGCCAATAATTCTAAGCGACCAAGAGATAGCCAACTTTTCAGATGCACAATTCAAAACACTGGTGATCAGGATGCTCACAGAACTGGTTGATTTTAGTCACAAATTAGATGAAAAAATGAAGGCTACACTAAGTGAAATGAAGCAAAATGCATAGGGAACCCATAGTGATGGGAAGGAAACTGGGACTAAACAAGTGGACCAGAAAGAAGAAAAAAAATGACTGAACAGAAAAGAATAAAGAAACAACAATTCAAAAAAAAAAAAAAAAGAGGAGAGGCTTAGGAACCTCCAGGACATCTTTTAACGTTCCAACATCTGAATTATAGGGGTACCAGGAGGGGAAGAGGAACAGCCACCAGTGGAACATTTATTTGAACAAATAATAAAGGAGAATTTCCCCAATCTGGCAAAGGAAATAGACTTTCAGGAAGTCCAGGAAGCTCAGAGAGTCCCAAAAAAGTTGGGCCCAAGGAGGAACACACCAAGGCACATCATAGCTACATTAGCAAAGATGAAAATGAAGGAGAGAATCCTAGAAGCAGCAAGCGCTAAGGGGACAGTCACCTACGAAGGAGTTCCCATCAGACTGTCAGTGGATTTCTCAAAAGAGACCTTACAGGCAAGAAGGGGCTGGAAAGAAGTATTCCAAGTCATGAAATCCAAAGACCTACATCCAAGATTGCTCTACCCAGCAAAGCTTTCATTTAGAATGAAAGGACAAACAAAGTGCTTCTCAGATAAGGTCAAGTTCAAGGAGTTTATCATCACCAAGCCCTTAGTATATGAAATGTTAAAAGGGCTTATCTAAAAAAAAGATAAAAAATATGAACAGTGAAAGAACAGCAAACTCGGTTATTAAACAACCACACCTAAAACAAAAGCAAACTAAGTAGACAGCTAGATCAGGAGCGGAACCATTGAAATGGAGATCACATGGAGGGTTAGCAACAAGGGAGTGTGTGTGGGGGGGAAGGTACAGAGAATAAGTAGCATAGACGATAGGTAGAAAATAGAAAGGGGGGAAGGACAAGAATAGCATGGGAAATATAGAAGGTAAAGAACTTGTGACTCATGGACATGAACTAAAGGGGGGGAATGTACAGGGTGGAGGGGAATGAAGGGGGGAAAATAGAACAACTGAAATGGCATAATCAATAAGACATATTTTTTTAAAAAAGGAAAAGAGAATATTATGAAGAACTCAACACATATACATTTGAAAACTCAGATGAAACAGATCAATTTCTTGAAAAACACAAATTATCACAACTTATCTAATATAAACAGACAACTGGATTTATAATTTAAAAACTCCCCCAAAGGGGCTGTCCAGGTCCAGCTGTTTTCACTGGAGAATGTTACTTAACATTTAAATAATTAATACCAATTCTAGACAACCTCCATCAAAAGACAGGAGGAAAGGGCATGTCCACTTCACTCATGAGGCTAACATTAGCTCGATCAAACCCAGACAAAGACAGTACCAAAAGACAACCATAGACCAATGCCCCTCATGAACAGAGATGCAAAAATCCTTAAGAATATAGTAGCAAATAGAATTTAACAACAAAAACCATGCACCATGACCAAGTGGCGTTTATCCAGGGATGTAAAGCTAGTTTGGTAAAGCTGGTTTGATATTTGAAAATCAATCAAAGTAAAGTACTATATTAATAGGCTAAATAAGAAAAATCATACAACTCTATTAATTGGTACAAAAAAATCTATCTAACAAAATTCAACATACATTCATGATACCAGAAAATCAGGAATACAGCAGAGTATCTTCATCTTCAATAAAGGACATCTACAAAACCCTACAACTACCATTCTATTTAATGATGAAAAACTGAATGCCTAACTCCTAATACCAGAAACAAGGCAAGGATGTCTGCTCTCATCCCTCTCGTTCAACACCATGCTGATGGCAGGGGGAGCGGAGGTGGTGCTAAAAGGACAACATGAGGGACCTCGGTGGCTGTGGCAATGTCAGGGCTGTCGTCAATGTCAGCATCCCAGTTGTGATAGTGAACGCTAGTCTCAACGAGAGGTTCCCAGGTGGGGAAATGCATATAAAAGGTACAGGGATCACTCCATGTTGTCTCTTACAATCACCTAGAATCTACAGTTACCTCAAAGGTAAAAGTTTCTTTAGAATGAAAGCACAACGCAGTCTGTATGTTGACAATCTGTATAATAAAATGCTGCAAAAAATGCAATGCAGTCAGATTCCACATGGCCACTGCTGAGGATGGGGACCTGTCCCTTTACACTACAGATGGCGGAGACAACCCAGACAGCGCATGCGACTCACCGTCTGTTTCTGAAGGCTGTCTACTTTTTCTTCAGTGTTGTCTTCTTTATCCACATTGCCTCTAAATAAAAGTAAAAGCAAATAAATAAAAAGGCTTCACACACCACCTAGGAGCTCTTTGGCAACCAGGATGCATGTAAGAAACCTCCCTAAACCACAGAGCATAAAGAGTATTAGTAATTCCCTTTCCTCACAGGCCTCAAAGTCTTGGTTTTTCCAGCATCCTAACTTCCATGGGCAAGGACCTCCACTCAACTGAGACTTCAGCATGAACTCAGTTGTTGAGAAGTTCATCAACAATGATTCCATTCTAGAGAAGTAATCACCATCCACCAAAGGTTATCGGAGTATGTGGCTCTGATAAAAAGAAGAGTCTACCGAAGGCTGTGCAAACCGAGCCAGTCCTGAAGTGCCAACCCCCAAAATGCAGTAGGATGAATCTTCTCACAGAATCACTTACTTTGGGCAGTGGTCACTTCCTCAAAAGGGAACTCTGCCAAAACTTCCAAGAAAGGACATTGTGCCCTCAGGACCAACTATCACATGTCTCTAGGTCAAATGCCTAATGTCTTCTCTCTTGTGAGATTCTTAACTACTGCTGATGTCTACCTGCTTTTCACAACTCCTAAAATTGCCTTAGAGTATTCCTGTCTCGAATACTCTTATCTTTGCTGCTCAGATCATGGGGGCAGGAGAATCTCCTACTCTCACTGCCTGACCACAGAAAGAACAGCCATTCCATAAAAAAATGAACCCTATGCCACATTCAGGTACCTCACACTCAGGCATATTTTCCCTGACCTGGGGAATGGAACAACAATAATGCTGGTCACTGGACATTTGTTAACATCTCTCGGCTGCATCTTTATTCTCTGCCCATGAGAGACACCTCTGGGATAGAGAATGTTAGCACAGCCAAAGTGTTAAGCAGGGGCTAAGAACAGATGCAAAATACATTTCACTCTTTTCTCAGCCTTAGCAGGTAGTAAAAGGCCCCTGGAAATGTCACACTCTCACACCCAGGCCCGGCCAAAGCCCCAGGCAATGAAAAGCAATATATGCCACTTTGGGGGAGAAGATCAGGTCAACAGCTTACCACACGCAAAGTGAAAGAACCAGTTTTTGGCTGTTCATTTAGCTTTCCTATGACTTTACACATTTGGAGGTTATGCCAACAGTAAGTAAAACTCAGGCAAAGAGGAGGCTCCCGTACTTTTTCACACACAATTCAGGGATAAGGCTTAATTGCCGTGGCTGTCAGGCAGTGGCTCCCAACCCCACCTTAGCCACGGACCATGCAACCCTTACAAAGTGCTGGGGTTTCAGCTGAGGAATTCCAGAGTCAGGAAGCCTGTGCTTGTGACTCTTCTTCGCTTTCTGCCAGGCCCGAGAGGTCTCAGTTCTCCTTCAAGAATCCTCTGACCAGGCAAGAGACAAGGATGGGGAGCAGCTTGGGGAACCCAGGAAGGACAGGAACTGATTCCTGGTTCAAAGTGCTTCAGGTCAAAGAAAAGGCCTGGGGTGTAACAGGGTGTAACCAAAGCAGCCACTTGGGAAGGCTGCTCCAGAATGGCAAGGTTCCAGGGAGAAGCCAGACTGTGAGAGAGACTGTCAGTGTGCTAGACACGTGGGAGGGGTCACAGAGTTGTGGCATGACATGTACATCCCGGTGGGCCTGTGATGCAGCCTCTCACCTCTCGGGAATGTCTGAGGTCCCATCCGCAACACCCTGTTCTGCAGAGAGCGACTTCTCATCCGGCATCCCGACCTTCTCCAGGAAGCAAAGTGCCGGGTCGGCCCGCATGGCATTGTACCGCTCGTACCCTGCTCAGGAGCAAAGGGAAATGTCCGCAGTCAGGTCAGAACGCACAGAATCGCACGGCCTGGGGCCCTGCACAGTCATTCTGTTTCTCTTACTAAGTAAAAACAAAACAAAACAAAAGTACTTATTTAAGGTGAACTAGATCTAAGATCCTTGAGTTACAGTAGATCCTTCTGAGTAGTGCTTGACCAAAAGTGAAAGCCTGTATCAATCCTGTGTGTCTGACACACAGGTATAGACAGAATTCTCACTCGCTTGCTTCTCTGGTCAGACAGAAAGGGAATCAGGAAAGTTGGTTTTACAATTTCTTCCTCTCACCCCCCCAACTCTGGACACTTTGTTGTTTCCTGCATAGGCCTTGTTTGCTTACAGTCTAATTTTATCACATGTGCGAAAAAGGGAGGCCAAACATAGTGATGGATGCAAGGGATGAAATATAAAGAGGACTGTGGTTGTTAAGCAAATTAAAATGGGTTTGTTGCCTCTGTATTCACCTAAGTATAAAATCCTAAATCCATTGGCCAGGGCTTTGGAATTGCCCCTCATCACATCCTCAAAGTCAACGCAGATGGAAAGTTTTTGAGAGAGAGCTCAAAAGGGAGGCAAAACAATGAAAAAAAATAACACCTTTACTCTGATAAAGCCCCTGCACGATAATTTATTTCACTGAATCCAATGTATGTAACCTTACGCTGAGACACGATTTGGTCACGGAAAAGATTCAAATCTACTTCATCACACTGGCCTGGGTGGGAACTCCTTCCTGGGCATCAAAGACCTGCCCGTTGCTCCTAGCAAACAGAGTCAATTTCTAGCTCCGTTGTATGCACAGAAAGACCCATCACACGTGATGGAAGATGCTGTATCTCACAAGAGAACCAGCCGGGGTGAGCAGAAGTAACAGACTTGATTTTACTTTGTTGGATGTCATTGTTATATTGTTTTTTGCTCTATCACTGTTGACACAGCTCTATCCTTCACCATGTAGGCAGCACCTGGTACTTTTTCTCTGCAGAGTTACAGTGCTCATCTTTTAATCCAAGTGACTGTTCTATCTCGATGATAGATGCTGCCCACATGAGACACATGACAGGAGGCACTGAGGTGCTTTATGTACTTTAGTCACTTATTCCATAGGGTGATGACAGACATATGATCACAGGCAGCCCGAAGGGCAACAATCCAGCCAGGAGAGGGTCTGATTTAGGCTCTAGAGGAGACGGCCCATGAAGCCGACCACAGCTGTCTGTCTGTAACAAAGTCTAGGCTGATTCGATGTTACCACCCAACTAAACGGGCCCAGTCCTATCCAAGAGGGAGCTAGTGTGCATGTGTGGCTCAGCACCAGTCCCCCAGCACCGGGTTCTCCCCATCTTCATAGGGTGTCCACTTAACTCATTATATGCTACAATGTGCACTGAGGGCACTGCACACAGCACCTTCCTGGCATCTGCCCCTCGGCCTTGACTTTGAATACCAAGTTCACCTCAACTAGCAGTCTGGGAGAGTATGAATGAAATGAGCAATGTATCATCTAAAGGTCTCACAGGTGTGCTCAGGTAGTCCTAGGAATTAACTTATACTCCCTCCTACCTCCCCCAAACCCCTGCTTTGTAGAGCAGAAGAGTTTTAAATCTGAATTGGCCTCAGACATCACCTAGTTGACCCTTCACCATTTTTGATATGAGACTAAGAGGTAAGAGAGGTAAACAGATTAATCTCACTACCCTACACTCTGATCAGGGACATGAAACTCACAGGTGTGGTGCCAATATTAACCTGACTTTCCTAGGACAGAAAGGGTCTTCGGCCTCCTTGGAGTGCTGCCCACTTTTACATCTTCCTGCCAAATTGTACCTGTCATTACTGTGTACTGACCCTGTGTCCCAAGTTATGCGTTTTACCTTAAAGACTTACCGTATGACAGTGGCTTTGCCGTACCAGGTTTTCCCTTCTTTGGTTGTTGGTATTTGCCTGAAATACCTGGTTTCACCCTCTGACCTCAATCTCATTCTACCTCCCACAACATCTCCTTTTTGGGGTCCCCACTGCTTCATCTCTCAGGAGCACGCTCTTCTAGTCTGCTTCCCCGGGCCAGTCAGAGAGCCCCTCCTCGCCCTCCTTCCTGTGGGGGCTTGTTTCCTGTTTTAGTGTGGGCGTTAAACGCCCAGACCCTCTGTTCTGCTGTCCTATCAACTCCTGAGCTTTTGTCTCTCGCTCTAAGTGACCTCTCCATTTGGGGATTTCCTTCATCTCTTTCAGGTTCAGCCAGGTAGTACAACCCTGTCACAGTTCACCGAGGCTTTCTGTACGTCTGCAGTCAGGGTGCTGGGTTGGGGGAGAGAGGGGAGGCATCTAAATTCTGTCTGCCCTACTGCTGGGACTACAGGTGAGTCCTTTGACACCACATTGTCTCAATCAGGGATTTGACGACATGCTCCAAAGCCATCACTAAAACAAGACGCAGGCTCGGTGGACTTTCCTGCACACACCAAGTGCAGATGTTCCGGAACATGGTTGCCTCCAACAGCCTGTGTACTTCTAGGTTCTTTCCAAAATTAGATTAAACCAGGTTTCAACTACACTGTGGTCCCTTGTGCTTAGTAGGGAGGTCACATGCTTCTTCTTCCCACTTCAGAGTTGAGTTCTAGCCCTGTACTACCCAACAGAGGAGCCACACATGGCCATTTTATTTAAAATTACATAAAGTAAAAAAATACATCACTCATTTCTATTAGTTGCATTTCAAGCACCGAACGGCCACCGTCCCCTCTGTAGCAGACTTCCAGGGCAGAAAAAGGGCTTTCCCACGACCACAGGTAGCTCGGTGGCAGCACTGTTCTAGCCCAGCCCCAGTCTGACAAAAAGTTCTCGGCAGCACCAGGCCGGGATCCCGAAGCCCGCGCTTGAAACGCCAGCATCCAAGTTTTGGGGGGAATTCCTCATTAAAGTATCCCTCAGTATCCAGGGATACCCCCTGGATACCCCCAAGGACACCAAAATCCGCAGACACTCAAGTCCCTTATTTAAAATGGCATGGTATTTGCACATAATTGATACTTGCACAGATGCTACAGCAGTATTAAGCATAGTGCTTGGCATATGGCAAATTCAAGTTTTGCTTTTTGGAACTTTCTGGGTCTTTAAAAAAATATTCTTTATCTGTATTTGGTTGAATTCGTGAATGTGAAGCCCGAAGATATGGAGGAAATGCAACTGGTGAGCCTGTAAGAGCTGAAGAATTCTCCTCACAGGGCATGCGTTAGAAAGTTTACATTCCAAAGGCGAGTGACAAGCGACAGTGGAACAGCATCAAGTGTCTATTATGCACCAAGCACTGTTCTAGGCAGGTAACCTACAGTGTCTTATTTAACCTTCCAACGACTCTCCCGGCCAGTTGTTTTGATGCATTACTTACCCCAGTGCAGGTAAGTAATTTGATCACAGATGTTTATTAAGTTGCCCAAGGCCAGACAGTAAGTGGCAGAACTGGAAGCAAAAGCCAGGTGTAACGAACCCTTCCCACTGTAAACCCTGCTACCCAGTTTAAAATTCCAGTTAATTCGCCAGGCAGAGAAGGTGCACACCAAGCACACAACAGTGACTGTCACCTGGCACTTTCATTATTCGTCTAACCATCAGCTGAACGGTTAGACAAATAAGGCCCTGAGCAAGGGCAGGTGCTCAGAGCAGGGCCGGAAGTGACAGACAGGGGCACTTATTTCAGCTTCAAAGCTGCTCAGAAACCTCTCAGTCCCCTAGTCTCCTGCTTACCACATTAAAAAAGAAGGAAAAGGATGACCACGCCATCTTCAAGTCTCAAATTTTACACCCAACAGGGCAAACCAGAAATATGGAGGTTATCTGGAATGACCTTAGAATTCTGTGTACATATGAAATATTAAGACCTTAACATTTCCCTCATTTATTCCTTTCTGCAAAAAAAACGAGGTGCAAGTGAGAAAAAGGAGGGACAACTGTAATAGTACAAACAAGAAGACACCATTTTAAAAAAGAAGAAAAAAACAATAGGTGCCACTACGCGCTGGGCACCTTGCCAGAAGCTGGGATGCCAGGAGCAAAGGAACACAGGGCAGTCCCATGCCCCAGGGTGCAGACCTGTGTGAGGAAGACACAAGGTCTCCACGGCCACAGCCACCTTCACAAAGCTACCCACTGACCTTATCATTCACTGTTATTTCGTGGCTCACATTCACTGGTTGAAATTCCAAGAGGGCAGAGGTAAGGCTCTACTTTCTAAGAGACTTGCAACAGGACTGTGGCGTTTTCAAGAAAGGGGAGACGTTCCCTGAAATACACACCATGTTTGAACACGCCAATCAGAAGAGACTTATCGGCCTCAGCATCCCACCAATCCACCGGGATCTCCACATAGTCGATGTCAGGCAGAGGCACCTCCAGCTCCCTGTGGAAGGAAGGGTGTAAACTCAGGGTTCCTTGAACACAGACAGAAAACAACATAAGAGCTACTGGCTGGACCCTAGCATTAAACCCCATGCCTAGTTACATGCTTAGATGCAAAGTAACAAGGAGGCAGAAAGCTGTGGGCCAAGGTTTCTTAAACAGGGCTTTCTGTTGGGCTCACCCAGCAAGCTATCCTCGTATGTGTACTTGACTTCTAGGCTCCACCTTAGACTACCTGACATACCTCTTGGAGAACTCAGTAGGTCTGGGGTAGGGCCTTGGGACCTGCGTGTACAAGGTAATTCTGATGTGCGCCTTCAGCTGAGAACCACCGCAAAATCCATCTACATATTGTTTATCTGAAGGGAGAACACCCCTCGAATGGTTTAATTTATCCACGATCAAGTGCTGAGAAGACAACTGTCCGAATCATCTTGGTACAACATGTAGAGATGTCAGGCACGATCTGGGAGTGGGACTGTGGGTTTGGTACATGCAGGGATGTGAGGAGAGCCGTTCAGAAGACAGGGGCCACAGGTCTGCAGGGTCAAGAGAGATCGCACACTGCACTGCGCCTAGCTGAGGCGAGGCTAATAACTCACCCTACAGAGCAGACACGGAAAGATTAGCAGGCCTGTACCATCAGCCCCTCTCTGAATTCTGTCCATGTTCTGAGAGCTCACACAGACCCTCAGCTCACTGTCTTCATTTGTCTGGACACAGGGGAGACACAAGGCTCCTCTCTCCCAGCTCCCAGCCCCTGGGATGCTTCCTCTATAGCACTTGAAGGTTCTTGTTCCATCAGGTTCTGCTTACTGTGACACAGGACTGACTGTCCCTTACCAGGCCCAGCTCCCTCTATGGGACAGTATCCTGCGGCCCCACCTCTCCAGGCAGTGGTCCCTATCTGGCTCCATGGCAGGGCCCACTGCATTGCTGCATGGTGCCATGGCCTGAATGACTTCCTGGGGTGAACTATTATTCATTCCTATTGGCAACTTCTCTACAGTAAGACATTTAACTGAATGAGACCAGGGAGAGCTAGGATCGAGGAAAGCAGACAAGAGAGGAGGGAAGAGTGTGTGCAATGGACTCCACTCTCCATGCTCTGCCTAGCTTCCAGCTCTGTCTACATGTCTGGGGACTTGTGCCAGGTAACACATAATACAAACAATATGACTGAATCCTGCTGCATTTATGACCCACACATTGAACCTTTTTACCAAAACACTCAACCTCCCTACCTTTCCTACAAGTGACTACAGTAGCTACAGAAAGCAGAGCAGGTCCTACCAGTCACTGTGATGATGGTTCTGGATTACAAACTGCCCCATGGACAGGACGGTCAGTGTCCAGAAACCGCAGCCCCACCCAGGTAATCTCAAGGCAGAGTTCAGTCACAACACTTCCAGTGTCCTTTGGGAATGACGGGCACTGCACAGGGCTGGGGCAAACTGCACACTGGGGGCGGGTGAAGGAGGCTGCCTGGCCATCCCACCTATGGACTGGGACTATCAGACAGCTTCACCAAGCGGAAGCTGGGAGTCTGGCAGCCTTATTCCCCCAAATGCTGGGAGGTTCTACAGCTCTGCAAACACTACTTTACAAGACCAAGGTGCAAGAGATCAAAACAGGTTGGGGGTGAGAGATCAGCAAATAAAGGCGAAGCATCACATGCAGAAGAGTACTCAGGCCAAGAATGGGATTCCAAGCAGAACTTCCGGTGTACACGTATCAGATCAAGCATATCAAAATAATTAATAGTCATTCTACAATTAGTTAAGGTAGTGAAATGACTGTTCTGAAAAAGATTTTACAACAAATGCTGGGACAAAAAATCAACTTAAAAAAAATCAACTTAAAACCTCCCCAAAAGCTGTTTCCAAGGAAGTGTTTCCTCCCTGGTTTCCTGCAGCTGACCTGACTGAACTGTCCTTGCTCCATCTCTGCCTGCTCCCCAGCCTGGGTAACTATGGGCCGGGTGGGAACCCAGGCCTCCAGAAGCACAGGCATATTTGCCCATTTCCAGGAATGTGCACTTTATGGCAACATTTTACCACTGAGAGCTAGGACTGACTTGTCTTACCTGGCGGAAGTCCCTTCAAACGCTTTATCAGCTGCTTCTCCCAGTATTTCTGCTTTTAGGTAGTAGAGCATCCGGACTCGCAAAAGTACCCTATGAAAAGTTAACACATTACAATGCAAACACATTAGAACACAGGAGCTGTCTGTGAACTGTCATCCACCCCCCGGCTGAAACAGGGAAGCTCTGGGCTTTCTCATGTCATTAGTGATATGATTTCCCCATTTTACACAAGAAAATTATGTTACCAGTCATCTGTTATCAGTGGTCCCCCAGCCTTTTGGCACCAGGACTGGTTTTGTGGAAGACAATTTCTCCACGGACCAGGTAGGGGGGATGGATTCGCGATGAGTCCGATGCCCTACTTTCAAGCTCACCTCCTGCTGTGTGGCCTGCTTCCTAACAGGCCCGGACCGGTGCCAGTCTGTGGCCCAGAGGTTGGGGACCCCTGTGTTAAGTCACCCTGTGAGCCATGTGAGGTACAGGGACAGCAAAAATACCACTCCTCCTGGTCCTTAAAAAGAGTACTCACCACTTCTTCATGGCTGCAATGGCCACGTAGGCAGAGTTGCCTCCCAAGAGGCGAGTTACCAGTTTACTAGCTTATGGAAGGAAGTCGAGGCATGCTGAGTGATGATGCTTTTAAACAGTTTCACTCATACATGGTTAGAGGAACATTTTAAAGCCCTTCTCATGGCAACAGTATCAGAGAGTAATGTCTCTTCTCCTGAGATGCTCAGCTCACTGATTCTGCATGGGCCACACTCAGGCACCAAACACATCTGAGGCAAGGCCATCGGGGAAGTATCTGCTGGGAATCTACTGTGTACCCTGCACCATGCTGGGTCCTGAGAAGCACGTAACAGAAGCAAATGGTTTAACCCTGTCCTTGAGGAGCCCACAGCAGCCTAGCTGTGAAATGACACCACCGAGGAAGGATCGGAGCACGGAGGACGACAGTGGGGTCAAGGGAGGGAAAGGCTCACTGATGCGAAATCAGGGTGGAAGTAAAGGTGGGCACAGAAAAGCTGACCACCTTCCAGGACATGCTCCATATTCACAGGTGAGCTGCAAAGAGGTTTGGAAGAAAACCGTAACTTGCTCGATACAGGCAAGAATGAAGGCTAGCTACTAAAAATACAAAATAAGCCAATTTACATGGACTGATACAGGAACTGATCTCTACATAAGTTGTTCAAAATGAGAAAGAAAAAAAGAAAGGAAGAAAGAAAGAAAAGAGAAAGGAAGAAAGAAAGAAAAGAGAAAGGAAGGAAGGAAACGGGAAGCGTGCCATTTTCAGGAATACACACTATGCACAGGGTACTGCGCGTTTTCGGGAAGACAAAGACGGCGACTCTCACCTGTGCTACCCCATGCACAGTGTCTCTCGACGAGTCGGGTTAACAGTGGCTGCCTTTGGAGAGGGGAAGGGGCACTGGAGGTAGGAGAAAACCTACCATTTGAAAAGAATTTGAACACATCTGTTTACTACCTATTCAAAAGGTGTTAATAATAAAGGACTGAGGCCTCTAAAAAGTGTAATTTCTGCCTTGACTGATGTGGCTCAGCTAGGCGTTACTCTGCAAAGCGACAGGTTGCCAGTTCGATTCCCAGTCAGGGCACATGCCGGGTCTGCAGGCCAGTCCTTGGTTGAGGCGCGTGCGTGCGGCAGCTGATTGATGTTTCTCTCTCTTTCTACCTCCCTTCCCTTTTCTCTAAAAATAAATAAATAAAATCTAAAAAAAAAAAAACACTACAAGCCCTGGCTGGTGTAGCTCAGTGGATTGAGCACGGGCCTGTGAACCAGAGGATCACGGTTCGATTCCCAGTCAGGGCACATGCCTGGGTTGCAGGCAGGTTCCCTGCAGGCCAGTTCCCTGCAGGGGATGCACTAGAGGCAACCATACATTGATGTTTCTCTGCACCTCTCCTTCCCCTCTCTCCTCCCTCTCTCCTTCCCCTCTAAAGATAAATAAAATCTAAACAACAACAACAACAACAACAACAACAACAACAAAAACCTACAAAGCATAAGTTCTTAGACACAGGCAGAAAGTGCCACTGTGGGCTCAAGTTGTAGGTGGCAACACACAAAGTGTGAGCTTTTATATGGGAAAAAACCTTGCTTTTTCTCGTACACCATTCCTTACCCTCAACTGGCAATCAACTCAAATACTTTTGAATTTTCTTCTTTCTTAAAAAACTCAGAGAATATAAGAATTCACAACCATCACTGATCTTTCCACCTGGCCGGCAGCCTTAGCAGGAACCAGAACGAGGGTGTTAGGTAGAGAGTTCTGTCTGCTGAGATCTAGCTCAGTCCTAGTATGGCTTTCCTGAAGACCTGAGATACACAGACCTGTCCCTATTGAAGTAAAGAGAAGCCACGGTGTTAACATTCGGTAGTATCTACAGCACGGAAGAAGAGAATATAAAGCCAATACTATTCACCTCTTATGAGAAGCAATTCAATTCAGTGGACAGACGGACACCTCCTCTTGGAGAGCCACCCCTTCCCAGAGCGAGATGACCATCCCAGCTGGAGCTGGTTTGGAACACCCTTACTCTAGCCAAATGAAACCCTTTAATATTTTGGGGGCACTATTGCTTTTTCTTTCATCTCTTTATTTAAACAAAAACTTGTTGATGGGAAATATGCTTCCCAAAAGTGCACTCTGCACAAACTTGAATCTCGATGGGACTCTGACAAACCAAACACACGTGTGCATGTAGTATCCAGATCAGGAAGCAGAACATTTCCCCTGAAGGCCCCTGGGAACCCCTCCAGTCACTGCCCCTGGCCCCAAACGAATCATCACTGTCCTGACTTAGCTTAGATTTGAAGCAGCTGCTTTTTAACTTTTTATACAGTTCTTTAGATGATAAACTCATGGCCCTAAATACCATACTATTAATAACAAACAATGCTTTGAGTACTTACTATGTGCCAACAAGTATTAGCTCACTTCATCCTCACAATAATGCAAAGAGGTAGGAACTACTATTAATCCCATTTTCTAGGTGAAGAAAAGGCACACAGAGGTTAAAGAATTCACCAGCTGGTCAGCAATGGGGTGAGGACTTACATCCAGGCAGCCCTGACCCCAGAGCCTGTCTTAACCCTTTTCTGCTGTTGGGGAGGCAAACACCCCAACACCTTAGTTAGTAAACTCGCTAATTAATTAGCACCTTAATTAGTAAGCTTGTAATTAGTAATTAATTACTAATTAAGTAAACTTAATTAGTAAACTTGCTAATTAAGACAAATCATAATCTAGAAACTCAGGGGCCAGTTATGTTGCAGAAATTCTGCCTGTTTTCCATTGCATCTCAGGATAGAACCAAGAACCAAGATCAAGGGGTGGAAGTTTCAAGGAAGCAGATTTTAGATTTAATACACAGAAGGACAATTAATTAGAATCATCTGGTAATTAAATGAGCCTTGTTGAGAAAGGGCAAACTCCCATCAGGAGGAAGGCTCCCGAGAGGCTGGAAGAGATCCTGCCAGGACACAGCCGACGGAACTCCCGCACTGAGTCTGAGTCTCTAGGTCTTGTTGGGCCAGAACTAAAGAGGATAGTGGCCCCCATTAGACTCACAAAAGTGCACAGCAGCCAGCATCTTCAAACTGGAACTGGGAGAAGTGCTTTACTACATTATTCAGGCATGCACTCAGGAAAGGTTTTGGGAGTTGTGGTGAGAAATGTTAAGAAATTCCTTGAAGGCCCATACTGGTTCTGGTTGTCACCTGTGATCACCTCTGTAGGTGCAGAGGCAAGTTCAGTGCCAGCCTCTCCAACTCAGCCTATTTTCAGTGCTCCTGACCCAAATCTACAGCTGTGGATGGAAGAGCCAAGTGCTGCTGCTGTAACTTAACAAGGCAAAGTCTGGGTCCTTCATTTTGCACTTCATCTTTTAGTGAATAAAATGATTCTCATTACATCGTGGCTACACACATTGCCAGTCTCCCAGCCTATGAGGCTGACACTCTATGGAGTTAGCTGCTTTTTGAATTCCTCCCCACACACTATGGATTCTTCCTTAGTCATGTGTCTCATTTTGACCCCTTCTCCCCAATTCTATAGTAAGCACCCTAATCTAGGTCCTTATGAGCAATACTTAAGTTATCACAGAACTCTTCTAGTTGGCCATTCAGCTCTAGGTTTACCTACTCCATCTTGCAAATTATTGCCAAATTAATTTTTCTCCCCAAATACCATATATTTATATCAGACATCTCACTTGGTCAAGAAATAACAGGTGCCTAATATTTACAACAGAATCCTCAGGTGGCCTGCCACTCCAGGTCTGTCATCAGCAAGTCCTCTTGGTCAGCCAGCCTCCTCTCTCCCACGTGGTGACTCTGACTCAGTCACATCGATGTGACAGGGGGCCCTGCACCAGTCAGGCTCTGCTGTCAATGGCATGTGACCTCTACGTCTGAGATTGAGACCGACTGCCCCAAAGAGCTTGAACTTTTGTGTACAATAGTTTTATTACAGTATTGAGCAGGAAACCTATCTTCAAATATTTGGAAGAATGAAGGGAAAGGATTGGATCTCATCTATTGTAAGAAAAAAACCACAACGAACAACAACTACAGAACCATGCATTAGGTTGGTATCATGGTACAGGGAAGAAGGAAAAACCAAGCAAACCTCTTATCATAAGGTATCAAACTCTTTTTAAACAAGGTTTTATTTATTTATTTTTGGAGAGAGGCGAACGGAGGGAGAGAGAAACATCGATCAGTTGCCCCTTGTACATGCCCTGGCGGGGGGCCCAAACCCGCCGCCATCCGGGCATGTGCCCTGACCAGGAATTGAACTAGCCACCTTTCACTTTGCAGGGTGATGTTCAACCAACTGAGCCACACTGGTCAGGGCTAAGGTACGAAACTCTTTATAATCAGGGGTATGTAAGCTGAGGCCTTCTCACTGCCTTTGGAATGCCAAGGATATAATTCTTGCATGACCTAGGAAGCTGGATAAGGTTTCCAAGGGTCCTTTTAATTCTAACAGATACATGTTCAGTGATGCAAACATCCATGTGCAAACCTGTCACTGTTTTTGTGGCTGAGTGCTGTAACTCCTCCTGGGCAGTAGGTACAGCTGCCAGAAGCAGGTGCATAGGGAAACACTCACTTGTTGCAGTGTTGTTTGAGGTGTTTCTTGTAGCCATCATCATGCAAGACAACCTCAGGGTTGCAGGTGGCCAGCCAGTCTGCATTCTTTAACTCTGGGAGCAGCAGCTGGTTCTTCGTCTTCTTCCCCTTCCTCCCTCTGGGGACCGGAGCAGACAACCCTGAAACAGAAAGGCAGGTCGATGAGGCAAGGCAGCTTAAACATGGGCGTTAGAACGGAGCTGCACTGGGCTTGCAAAGAGGCAGCTAGGCTGTGTGTGGCAGCCTCAACAACAGCCCCTGCCCCCAACAGTGCACCACACAATGCTGGTACCTGGAGATGTGCCGGTCCCCACTTGAAACCCCAGGACCATTCAGTCGGGCAGTAAGATTTTACCAAACACCCTGTGAAGGTCAAGAAGGGTGCACCAGAACCTGTGCCCTTGGGGAACTTACAACCTAGCCAGGGATCAGGAACAGTTGGTCTGAAACCTGAACATGAGCCATGGCCAAGCACAGGGAAGGAGAAGCACAGCAAAAGAAGAGCACAGGCAGAGGTGGAGTGGAGACAGCACTGTGAAATGCGAAAACAAACCACGGACACACAGCTGAGCCCCCGATTCAGAGGAGGAACCCCTGTGATGCACACTCTGAAACATATCTGAGAAAGAGGCCCCTCACAGCACAGTAACATGGACCAACACAGGAAGAGGGAGGGGGGTGCAGGGGAGTCCGTGCTTCTCAGCCCACCTCTCACCTGAGTGGTTCTGGAGCGTCTGGGCCTGCCCATCTTTGGTGGGTGTGATCAATTCCCAAATGAAACTCTTGATCTTCTCATCCCCCTTGTAATGCTTGACACAGTATACCAGCAGGGCACGGCAAATCATCTCCATGTCCTTTTCATTCAGATGCCACTTGAATCGCCCGTGCGTCAGGATGTCCTTCCACCGGCCCCAGCTGAGAGTGGAAATACAGCAGGTGTTGGAGAGAACAAGGGCCACGCATGCCCTCAACACTGCAGGACAAACGGGCCAGGAGAGCTCCTCGTCCTCTGCTGGGTGTTTTAATTACCCAGAGGGCTTTGCCCTGAAAGCCCTTGGAGGACTGCATGCTATAGCATACTAAGTGTCACCAAGGTGGCCTGGATGCTGGACACAAAGAGCTTTATAGGGTCACTAGGTTGTTAGGAAGAGAGGAACAAAAATATTTGGAGCAGGGAGTGAAACTTTGGAATTAAAACAGAGTCCAGCTGCAGTATTCAAAAACAATGGTGAGCTCCTAGAAACTAAATCTCCTATTTCTACCAGAGCCAGAGAGTCTCAGCAGTAACATCTGTTGCACTGACTACTTATATATCCTTGGGGTCAAAAAGCAGGAAATTGGTACCAGGCAGCAAGTAAGTAGCACAGAGAGAAAATCAGGGCATGTCTACAATACGGCAGCAGAGCATACAATGTGCTGGGGTTGGGGGCGGGGCGGGCAGGGTCACGGGCAGAAAGCACAGTTCACTCTTGCTCTAACGGAGCCTCCACCAGCCCACAACTGGAGGTATTTGGAGAGATACACACTGGACAAATCTCAGGGACTGAAAAACAACACGCGGGCAAAGCCAACACCCACCCGAAGATGAGCAGGTTCTTCTCTACCCGGAAGCATTCAGCTCGGAGGTAGCGTCTGGTTTTGTCGTTGAGGCGCCTGGACCTTGTGGGTCTTTCGTCAGAGTCACTGTCTAACTCTGAAAATTCCATGAGTTCATCCTCCTCAAAGGAATTGTAGTGTTTGGTCTGCTTTCTCACGCGAGGCCTGTCGATCACTAAGCTTTCCTAGAAACAGAGAGACGCTGAGGAGAAAGCCCTGCTTCTCTCTGCCCGCATCGCAAGGCATCAGTGCAACCTGTCGACACCACTCAGGACTCACTGGGGAAAGAACCACACCCGGTCCCATGCTCCAGTAGGAAGGGCTCTCCCCACCACACCTGCTGTGTCCACAACAAGCAGAGGGGGTCCTCTGGGACTTGCTGAAGTTGACATGCTCCCCAGCCCTCAAAGCTGTCTGCCACCATCTGCTGGTCCCTGTGGTCACTGAATGGGCATGGGCAGGCAAGGCCCCCGGCGCCCAGAGCGGCAGTCCACTGTTGACAGCAAAGGCTAGAGTGGTGCCCCCCAGCTGTTCTGTCCAGCAGGCGGAGGCAGTCCACGCTCTGGAGACAGGGCGAGTGGGAGAATTCCATCTGCTCAGCAACTTTCTGAAGACAAACACCCATCCCTGCTGCTCCACTTTCTGCCTTCCACTGACATGACACACCGAAAACATATTCAGGAGTCTCGGTCATGCAGGTGGCTCCCCTGGCCACAAGCATCGCTTTTCTCCAGTTTCCATCACTTCATGCTTCTCACCCCTTCCCCTTATACCTTATACTCGAAGGTAGGCTGAGCTCCTGAATACTTATCTATGCAGCCCAGATAAAGTTCTGTCATTCCTGCTTCAATCACCTTCCTTCCCACCTTGGAACGCTCCTACTGCTTCTTCCTGCCTATAGGGCACAAGCCTTTTCTTCCCCCCTTTGCCATCTGTCCTGCATAAAGTGTGACTTCTTGATTGTGACCTTGCAAAACACAGGTGACAAAGGACTGTTGGATCTTCCTATCTGGAGAAAGCCTGTGGTGACCCTACAGAAGAAGCATTAATGTCAGGTGCTGGCTACTGAACCAGCGAGGCACCAGCAGGACCTGCCTCTGGGGTTTGTGGGTCCAAAGAGCTCAATACTCACTTGAGAAGACAAGGAAAAAGTGATGCTTACTCATCCTCAAGTGAGGCAACAGGGTCAGAGGTGGAGGGAGGGAGACTAACAAGTGAGAGGTGCCTCACAACGGGCTAGGCAGTTCTACTGCCCAGCCCTGCAGAGTGGGCATTACCAGCTCCTTTCCTCGCCCGTTTCAGTGAGGGCAGGTCCTGTGCCCACAGGCACACGTCCAGTAAGGGGCAGAGCCAGTATTCCAACTGTGGTTTTATTTCAAGACCATTCTCTCTCTTATGCACAGAAATAGAAAAAGTCAAAATACTGAGAGAAAGGAAGTGAAGCCAACACCCTGCCTTATCACACTCTCTTCCTCTTCCTGGGCTTCATGAGAGGTGGTCTCTTCCACAGGAATGGTGAAACGGAGGTAAAACGGAGGTCGCGTGCCAGGGATGGGGTGCTGGCTTGTGCCCGAGGGCTAACTCTGACCCGTGTGGCCAGTTCCAGTTCTGCCTGCCCTGGCCCGATTTCCCAGGTGCCTGGCATGTCCCACTAGGTCGTTTCACGTTCTAACAGTTAACATTTATGGAGCTCGGCCCACATGCCAGGCGTGTTTTCAGTGCATCACATCTAGCATCTCATCCAAGAATTAAGGCTCAGGGGTGAATCATGACTTGAGCTGCATGGGGGTTTATAGTTCTGTAAGACACCACTGAAATGTTCAACAGAATAAAACATTCTTAATGCTGTACCTTCTCATTCTTTGCTTCGGTGTCCAGTTCAGCTATTTTAGCCCATTTCTGCCAAAAATTTGGGTCATCTAAGGAAATATCTGTTCTATTTCCTGAAGCCACAAAGCTAGCCTGTGAAGAAGACATCAGTTAAAACACTGTGCTTGGACAAAGTACAAATTAATAAGAGTATGATGTGATTTTAAATGCAGCAGAAACTCAAAAACAGCCTCCAAAATGAACGTGAGCGAAAATCTCAAAGTTGCTATTCCTCTTTTAAACGATTTAAAACTTGGGAGATGGAAGACAATGGAAATGTGTTACCTGATGCCTAGTTCCCTGTGAAAGAATTAATTCTTAAAACTTCCCTCAGTTCAGCAGTGACCAAACGTTGGCTACAGAAAAGGCACTGGGTGGGCAGTATGAGGTGGACAGAGATAAGCCAAGGCTAGAAAGCACAAAACGTCCTGCCGACGACCCACAGTAGTGACCAAACAGAAGATTTAATCAGACAGGTCAGCAAGCTCGAGGAGCCCATGGTCAGGGAAACCTGAGAGCAATCTGATAAGCAGTCTGAGGAGCTGATTCTAGATCCAGCACCCTGCAGGGCACAGGAAAGATGCGCCTAGACTGGAAGCTGGGATTCCTCGTAAAATCTCATTTTCTCGTGAAATGAACAAAACACTTGCTGGAGTTTGAGGACTGGAGTGTTCACTGGAATACGGATCAGAGAGTGCTCTGCAAAGGAGCCAAGGCCTGGGGTTCAGAGCAGCCTTCGTGCACAGTGAACAGTGCGCACTGCAAGATAAGAAGCCCAGCTGCCCACCGGGCACCAGCTCCCCAAGGTGAGGGGCGGTGCTTTCTTTCTGTAGCTTCTGACTCATTACTGACACCCTCTCTAAGAACTTGTATCTTCAGTCCCACAAAATAAATGTGCAGCCAGACAATCTCAATGGTCTGTATTTAGAGAATCAGAAGCCCGGATCACGAGGTCAGGGCATAAACAATCTTCTTCTCGCTCCCCCCAACACAAACTCTGGAGAGAAGGTCCTATACCTTGGCAAAAGTGGACCCCTTCCCTTCAGACTGGATGGTGATAGTGTGCGTTCGCCTCTGCAGAATCTGGTCTATGTCTTCTTCACAGAACTTGGAGCCTTCATCTTCCTCATCCATCAAGGCTCCATAAGCACCTTTCCGGAGCAAGTCCTCTACCTCCATTTTTGAAAGCTGTTGTACCTGGACAGGTCACCAAAGGCTACTCAAAAAGTAGAAAATGCATAGGAAAAAAACAGCCTCAAATCCAGCCGTTGTGACTCAGAACACAGCTCCTTGACTAACTGCACATGTCAGAAGAATAAAGACATGGACAATAAGTTTTAGAAAATGAAGACCCAGAAAAAGACACTAGAGAGAACTATGGAGAGGGCGGGCAGACGGTCCTGTACAGGGAGCTCCAGAAGAAAACCCAGCACGTGGTCCAACGGCCTAACATTCTTTGGGACATTGGTTATTATCAAATGTCATAAGCCATTAAAACTATGCCCCATTGAAGAGGATGCACTTAATGTTTATTTTATATTTTAGTTTGAGTCTGTATCTGTAAAAACCTCCAGATGTAGCAAACAAGCTAAAGAATAATGATTTCTTCGTTATTAAATAAATACATTCATACTGGAAATGATGTCATTTCTTAACTGAAGAAAGGATGCTGTGCCAAGTGCGATCTTCCCAATTGCTTGTTGAAAACAGGAAATGGGAGTTCAAAACACCCTTCCCTGGTTCTAATTAAGAATCTGGTTCTCTTTACATCAATCACAAGAGGGAATTCCATGACTCACAGCACTGGTGACGTGAAGTATTACACTTAGCAACATATGCACAGCTAAGAGGACACAGACCATCTGGACCAAAGACGACTCATTTAGACGGTTTCAATTCCCAACCTTTGATGCCCCGAGCCCAGAGATTCAGGAGATGTTCCACCTTGTCTGCCTATACTTCAATACAATTTAAGAATCTTAACTGCAATTTTTATCCCTCAGAGGGGAAAAAAGATTTTAGTAACAGCTGTATTTGAAGCTGCTAAGCTATTCATTCATTTACTCACTGACTATCACACATTGAATATCTTTAATATGCCAAGGGCTGTTAGGGACCTTGGGGATATAGATAAAATTCATTCCATCACCCCCCCACCCCCCCACCCCCCGCGGAGCACAAATTCTGGAGTATGAGATAAAGTGTGGTGACAATCGATTGAATTCAAGAGTTAAGAGTGTTAAGATCTCTTGACTTCTAATGTGCACTGTAAAAAGTGGTGTGACCTGACTCAGTTCAGTGAAAGTCAATCTCAAAACAGCTGCAGAAAGGAAGAATCTAGAGAGGCCCCAGCTGTGTGACGACTGCTGAAGTCCCCAGAGCAGGCGCCGCCATACTCACCCCGTTGGTGCCGCCCTTTCGGTTGATGTCCTGAAGAACAGCCTTGTCCAGACCCAGCTTCAGGCTGGCCTTGTCAAACATTTCTCGCTCATAGGAGTTCCGGGTAATGAGGCGATACACCTTCACGGCCTTGCTCTGGCCTATCCGGTGACAACGGGCCTGAGCCTGAGAAGGAAGGAGGGTCATGTACATCATGTCACCAGACACAATGGCAGTGGCCCAAAGATTAGGGAAATGCCTAAATTCCATTGCTATACGTGGTCAGATCTCACAGTTATGAATCACGGGACTGATTTAGGAACAGAATTCACCCAAATGTCAGCTGTCCCTTCAAGGTCACTTATTGCGTCACCCACTATTTATTGAGTGACTGCCCTGGGCCAGGGTAAAGTGGTGAGAAGAACACGGTTCACTCCCTTCCCTGGCCTGTGACCTTCATGGAGGCACTCAATCCCGGGCACTGTCCTGCTCTTTTGGGAAATGCCTCAGAGTTGGTAGCACCACTTTTTAATTTTCTGTCATTTTACTATAGAAAATGTCACACACAAATGTAGAAAAAAGTATAATAACCTCTTAGGGACAATCCTGTTTCATTTTTATTATGCCTCCACCCTCCAAGACGGTTATGAAGCAAATCTGAGGCAGCTCATTGTTTCTTCCTTACACATTTCGATACGCATTTCTGAAGATAAGGACTTCTACAAAACATATTACCATCGCCACACTGCAAAACATTAAGACTCAGTCTGTTCCAATTTCCCCGCGCATCTCATAAAGCTTGCTTGTTGGGAGGATCCAGATAAACACCATATGTTGTAAGTGGTTGATACTCCCTGCCTTTGACTTTTTTTTTTTTTTTAACAAATGCAACTAATTTTTTGAAGAGATCAGATACCTGCCTTACAGTTTTTCAAAGTCTACATTGTGCCTTCTCCATTCTGGCTGTGTCATGGATTAGGTCCTTCAGTTCCTTACCTTGAATCTCCATTAAACCAGAAATTATATCTTGAGACTTACTCAGGCTAAGATCTCATTTTTTGGCAAGTGTGTTTTATAGGTAGTGTTAAATTTCCATCAAGAGGCACATGATGTCTGACTGTCTTTATTTTGAACTGATGGTCACTGCCTAGATTAATTCATTAGGGGTTACAATTCCCCTCATCAAATTTTTGGTTTACCCTGACTTACAGTTCATATAGGACAGACAAGCTAAATGTTCAATTCTTTCCCTTTATTTAATCGGTTTCCAAAATAATACCCTCTAAAAGTGACCAAGGAAGATTTTTATTATTACTTTTCAAAGGAATACAATAAAGCTGCATTTAAATATATACGCAATGTTTTACTGCACTGCTCTATTTTTATTGCTGTTCAAAAAGGGCCTCGGAGACCTCGTCAAGTTGCCTCCTGAATTCTTTTGACACGACCTAGTCAACTACAGGAAGGAGGAAAACTAGAATAAACTCTGGTGTTAGGACAGGATGAGCTCATGGTTAGAATGTCTGCACGTATAAACATACAAAGGAAGAGACACGGGCATGTCTGTTTATGTTTGCACGTCACATCCAGGGCTGGTGGTCTCTGAGAGCTCCCTTGCTTTCTCATATGACAATGTGTATCACGCTCCTCTTGGACATTTCCTATCCAGAACTGGACTCAGCACGTTTTTCAAGGAGTCCTCGTTCCTTTCACTGGGAAATGGTAGGTAGAGACAACAATCTGGATGCTCTAGAGGTGTTTGCTGCTACGAGGTTAGTCATTGTTTCTAGGCCTTTTCAATGAGCAAAAACAGAAGTGTTTGTGTGTATACAGTACATAAAGCTATATGCACATATAAGACAAAATACATCAGAAGGCCACAGTAATATTTTAAATTCAAATTTAGAACTATGAGATTTAAATTTAATTTGCCATATATCCATATCGCTTTTTAACAATGTTTAAAAGCTCAGTTCTTGATCACAACAATGTCATTACTCTTTAGGTTTACCTCACAATATAGGCAACGGTCTCAGAGAAACAGCACCATTATAATCTTCCCCAAACACAATTACCAAAAACCACATAAAATTTTTGTTTTCTCCCATTTAGGGTTATATCCCACTAAGCATGCACACCCAAATTACAGTGTTTTAAACACACACTTGCAAGTAGGTTTCTTTTTCACAGTGGTACAGTCAGCAATTTCAAGACTACTTTCTGGGTACACTAGGATTGAGCAAATTAGTACATATATTAACATTAATAGGAATTAGTGTTTTCACTGTTGAAAAGGAAATTATGAATATGAAATGAAGAAGAACTAGAATAACTTTGGTGTTAAAATGGATTTGGAGGTATCAGTATTAACTCAAGGTTAGGTGTGTGCATGTGTGTATAAACATGCATATAGACAGACATAGAGACAGGTGTGGATATATGTGTATATTCATGCTTAAGTTTCTGTACACACATACATGTATGAAAGCATGTTGTGTATGTGTGTACATTTATATTCTGTGTGCACGTGTTCTAGCCTTGTTCACTGAGAGGGTCAAGAAGCGGTGGCGTACCAGTGGCAAAGAACACAACTAACTCTCAGATCTTGGTTTCTAAATACCATTGTTCATAAGACAGAACAAAGGCATGTTAGAGAAATGGTTAATTCTGGGGCTGGAGTAGACAAAGTACATGATGAGGCTGAAACATTACTGCGTCAGAATGCAAGGAAGTGCTCAAAGAATGATGGACACATATCAAAGTAACACTGAAACTCAAGAAGACTACCCCTGGCCAAGTCTAGGACTATTTCGACATCGAAAGAAATACACATTGCAATGGAATATAACTCACTGAATAAAAATGAACCCATGAGAGCATACTGACATAAATAAGTGCAAGGAAAGGGAAAACTCTATTTACAGTGGAATGTAACCAACAAAATGTAGGGTGACAGAAAACACCACTCTGTAACCATCATAGTGATGACTGATTCAGGAGTCTAAAATAATGGATGAAATTTTGATGAAGAACAGGACATTTCCATAGTCTCAAAGTATCTGTCCAAAATTGATTATTAGTTTTTAGGGGGGAAAAAAAGCAACTTATGTGGAGAAATCTGGCAGACACCACTTAACTAAGAAACCAAAGCCTGTGTTACTGGACGACATCAAGTTTCTCTCACTGTGATAGACTGAGAAGGGCATGTCACTTCACTGGTATCACTATACCTGAATCCAGTCCGGAGGGGACACAAACATAAACTGCGGGACAATCTATGAAACAACAGGCCTGTATACTCTTCAAAAACATCAAGGTCATAAAAACAAAAGAAAAATCGAGGAACTGATTCACAATAAAGGAAACTAAAGAGACATGAGAACTTTATGCAATGGGTGATCCTGGATTGGATCTTAGAGGGAATAAAAAGGATAGTGAGTGAAATGGCAAAATTTGAATATAGACTATGGACTGAGGACAGTATTCTCATTTCCTGATTCTGAGAACTGAACTGTGTTTACATAAGAGAATGTCCTAGCACTTGGGAAATACACACCAAAGCACTTAAGAGGCACCTTACCCTCAATGGTTCATACAACAAATGGTGTGTGCACGCGCGCGTGTGCATGTCTGTGTATGCACTCAGACAGAGGAGAGGGCCCGAAAGGGCAGAACTAGGAAAGCCAACAGGGCGAGCTGTGAACAGTTGGTGAATATGGACAAAGGGTATACAGGAGTTGCAAACTAAAATTATATCAAAATGACAATATAAAAATTATTAAATATAAACATTTGAAATACCTTCTCTCTTGAGATTATGCTGTTTACTTGATATACAGACAGATTCAACTGTTTCGTTCTGCTTTAGAATTTCAGGAATTTACTTCAACCTACATTAATTTAACCACAATGAAGGGGGTGGAAAAGAAAAAAAGCAGACCCAGTAACTTTGGAAAATGGTGTTTTGATTAGGTACTCTAAGACTAATTACCACAAAAAACACTCAAGTCTGATATTATAGGTTGGTAAATTTCCTTTCCACAGAATGTGGGTGAGCAATTCTGAAACTAGTATTCTTATGTGTTTACTAGGATTGAACACGATAAATATAGTTTGTTATAATAATGAGATCCAGGCTTCTCACAGCCAGGGAAACGAGTTACAAGTAAAGAAGACAGGAAGACTACAAAGAATTCTGTGGTGTTGGACTGGAATCAGAAACCTCACGATGGATGGACACAAACGGATTAAATATAGATGTGTGGTATGAGTGTTTGTGTTAGGACACATACATGTATTTCCTAGGTCTGTCTGCTCGAAGAATCTAGAAGCAATAATACTCCAGGTAGCAATAGGCATGCCTAGTAGCTAAAACTTAGTTTCTACATGCCTTTTTTAAATAAAAGGAATCAGGGACCCTTGGAGAAATGGTCGATTCCATGGCTATGGCAGGAAAAATGGAACATGAACATGAACATCTTGTAGTGCTAGAAAGTAAGAAAAGTGCTCAAAAACCAATGGGAACCTCTAAAACGACACAGGAGCCAATCTGAAGGACCAGACCTCCAAATGACCAAATATGAGCATGAAAAAAAATGAGAGGAATAAATCATGACCCACAAAATAAAATGAACATCCTTGAGTCCATACTGCTATAAAGAAATGATGGGCAAAGGTCAACTGCTCTTTATAGTAGACTCCCAGTTATAAGTACAGAAGGAATGACTGAAACAGAAAACTACCATTAGCCAAACACCATAATAATTATGAAGGCAAAACTATTGATGGATGCTAATAAAATCAACAGGCAAACATACGAGAAATGGGTTTAGAATCTCAAATTATCTCCGCCCAAGACATTAATTTTACAGGTAAAACGAGGTACTTTACAGTGGAGAAACCTAGCAGATCCCACTCAAGCAGTAATCAAGGTTAACATCACAAATAAGACAAACTGATATCATGTTCCTCCATATACACAGAAAAGGTCATAACATCACTTCTATGATAGTCTTGCCCAAAATGCATAACTTCAAAATGTGATCAGAAGAAAACATCAAGCAAACACAATTTGAGACAGTCTAAAAAAGGGCTAGTCAGTATCCTTCAAAAGTGTCAAGGTCATGAAAGATAAGGAAAGACAGAAGCTGTTACAGATGGGAGCAGGCCAAGGAGTCATGACTTCCAAAGGAAATGTAAGATCCTAGAGAGAATCCCAGACCAGACAAAGAAAACTCGTAGGAAACCGAAGGAATATGAAGGTCTATAGATTATCAATGATAACTTCCTGGTTTCAATAAATATTATGTTTTTATAAAATGTTCATATTAAAGTGTTACTCTGCAACACTTTTAAAGTTTAAGATGATTACAGACCTAATTTTAAATAATGCTATAAAATACTTAAGATGGTTTGTTCCAAAGGCAAATAGACGAAAAGACATATTTGGAAAACTAGCTTCTATCCCTGTTACTTCCATCCTGTTCCCTCACTCCCTTTACATGTAGCCACTTAAAAATAAAGTTCTGATTGATTGTTTTATTTCTCCATTGGCGGGAAGTGGGAAGAGACAGCCTATTTAGATAAATGCTAGCATGCCATGCACACTTTTTCCACCTTATTTTTTCCCATCCAACACTACATTCAGAAGTCTGCAGCAATATTTCCCATTCTTTTATATTATGGTTTAATCAATCAGTCTTCTATCATTGAACCACTAAGTTGCTTAGTCTTTGGCTATGGCAATTAGTTGCCATGCTTTCTTTCTGTATCTTTAGTGGTAGTAAATCTTTAGTCTTAGGGGAAGATCTGATGGATAACTCTGGTAAATAAAGGAAGGGATCAAGGTAAGTAGTTTATGGTATGAAATCCTTAAAGCAGCAACAACATGTGGCCATAAATGCTGACAATGATTTTCTTTTTCTGGCTCATCTACTACTGAGAGTAAATTACAAGACGAAATTTAAGAAATGTTCTGAGCAAAGGTCTAATAAGGGGAGCTCTGCAGACATTATTAATTACCTCTTTGGTATCCAAATTCCCTTTCTTCCTCACTACCAGAACCCTGATTCTTGCAGGGGGCAGCAGTGTGTTCAATTGAAACCACTTCCGGCCTCCCAGGGATGGCAATGTAATACAGCTGTAGACAGCGAGATGTAGAAGAAGTCTACTGGGGATATCTGGGAAGGTTTTGCTCTCCTGGAAAAAGCGTTGTACCTTCCCGCCTAGGACATAAAAGGTCCATTTTGGAACCAAGAGGATGTAAACCACATTCACTGAGGATGGTGGAGCAGAAAGACAGAAGGAACCTGGGATTCTGATGACACTATGAAGTCACCTCAATAGTTCTGGACTACACAACTCTAAACTCCTTGTTAACTGAAGAAAACAAACCTTTGTTTTGGGGCCACTGTCACAAGCAGCTAAATGATATCAGGAGACAGACATACTCACTACTAAAGGTAACTTACCTGAAAAGTATCAAGATGAGTCCTGTCACATTTGGAAGACTTGTCATTTTGCAGTCAAGTTTTAAACAGTTAATCACATATTCCTAATTTTTCTAATCAGAACTCACAAAAAAATGTGGTCAAGAGAGAAACATTCAGAACTAGGGCAGCAACTGAGATGAAGTCCAATAAAACCCACGAACAGGGTACAAATACGGAACCTCGGAGTGTAAGCAAGCAGGGGCAGTGGAGCTTCTCTCGCACACAGGGAAAATTATAGCGCTCTAACGCGCCAGCATGACTTGCGGGCCCAGTTTATTTAGTTTTTAATATGTTTGAGGTGAACAAAGGCCCATGAGAGACAAGAAGTAGTGTTCGGACCCGTGACTGCAGAGGGAAGACAGGGGGAGGAGAGCACGTAGTTGCCCCAACAGTGAGAGATTTCTAATTCAGGCCTTTAATTTACCACCGTCACTTTCAAGTCCGGAACTTGGCAAAACCTTACACTGTATCTTCACAATTGTGTGAAAATCAAGTAGCTGGTACAAACAACCAAGCATAATGTTGATTCCTCTCTTGACCCTTACGCTGCTTTTTCACATCACTAGCTCTACTACATTTAAAAAAGTACATTTTCTTTAATGCTTTAAAATACTACTTGTTTCTTAATGAAAAATCCGCATAATCTGGGAGGTTAAAAAGAACTACTTCAGAGCCACCAGAACCCAACCACTTTTGGCGTGCTGGTATAATGCCTGAACCCAGCTTCTATGCACAAGCATTTTATTTCAGGCCCGGCACTTTTACACTTCTCCTGCCGATCTACAAGTCTGCGTATGCAGGCCACCTCCTCACGCAGAAGAGGAAGGGGGCTCTCTGCAGCATGAGTCAGGGAGCACTGGGAAGTGAAGTGGCCTTGCATTTTGCAGACCTACACTGGGAATCTGAAATTTCTACCACCAGATTTATTCCTTGGGGAAAGGTACCATCCCCTCTTAAAATGTAAAATGTCTTTGAGAAATGGGATGGATATGCGCCCGCAAACATAAAATCACTATTTCAACTTTGTGATTCAGTGTAATCACCCAAACCAAACTCCTGAGCACCTCTGCTTTCCAGGGCCTGACCTGCTGTCTAGGGCTCGGGAAGTGCATCAATATGTCAGCCAACAGCTGGCTGAGAACAGGAGAGAGGAGATGCTTTTGCATCCATGGAAAAGGATGCTTTTGGGCAGCATAAGATAAGGAGTGGGGAGTGAAAAAGAGAGGACGTTGAAAAGAGAGGCAGGAGAGTACTCCAAAGACACCTGACTCACTTTCTGTGGGACTGATGCTGCCCAGCAAGTGCCTGGCCCACCTGTGGCAGGGGTGTGCTTAGGCTCATGCCTGCCCTAAGTGGTTATACCTTTTATTCGCTGTGTCTGAAACATTACTCCGCTGACATTACTTAAGATCCTTCCCCATCATTTAGGTCTCTGCTCAGATGTCATTATCTTCAAGAAGGCTTCCTAGCCCTGACCGGTATAGCTAAGTTGGTTGGGCATCAGCCCACCAAGCAAAAGATCACCAGTTCAATTCCCAGTCAGGATGCTTAGGAGAGGCAATGGATCAATGTTTCTCTTTCACATTGATGTTTCTCTTCCTCTCTTTCTCCCTCCCTTCCCTTCTAAGAATCTTGAACAACAACAACAAAGTCTTTCCAGATGACTTTCTAAATCAGGGCACCCAATGCCCATCATGCAGATCCTCTTACTCTGGTTTATTTCTTTGCACTAAGTGCAAAGAAAACATACACTTTTCCTTGTTTACAGATACAATGCCACACAATTTGGTTTACAATGAATGACTCCCCCCCAAGTTTTAGTCAATTATCACCAATTTAATAATTTAAAGGGCTGGTTTTTAAACTAGTAGAGTGCTTTCTTCAAATAAAATGTTAGTTGGAAACTTACTAAATGAAAAAGACAAAGCAGAATGGCTCCTGTAAGGTGGTGGCCAGGGAAGAAGCCCCCACCCTCACTGACCTGGCTCCCTCTGCCTGCTCCCCCCCCCTGGGGCACCTGCTCAGTTTTGTGAACTAGCAGCCTCCAAACTACCTTCATCAGTCTCTGTGTCATGAAAAAGGTTGGGAGGCAGCTATGACTCTCCTGACCCTCTACTCACACTTGAGTATCAGCACATATTCCAAGATACACGTAGCATGAAGTTCATTGTTAATGGTAATGGATATAAAGCTATATTCCAGATGATCTTCTTGACAAGTTAGAATCTCTTTGGCTGACTTACTGTCCAATCTGGTCATTGTTTCTTACTTGCAGAGTTGATGAAGACCTCTAAACTCTAAGTTGATGGCAGAAATGTTAGCTCTCCCATTTTCTTGTTTGTTTATGTTTTTGCTTTTGAACTGTGTTAACTTCAATCTCTGTAATAACTTTGGTCTTTGCAATTATCTTTTAAAGCCACCATTATTTAATTTGGTTAAAAGTAGATCATATAATCTGCAAATCCACTGAAAAGGGCATAGAGAAACTCTGCATTAAGTGCAGAGCAAATGTACCGGTGAGGATGCCTCTGTCACCAGGGAGCCTACCCACCCCTTTGAGTTATCTCCCCAACTGTATATGACATATGACCATTTCATGAACAAGCCAAATGTTGAAAATTCCAGAATCCAGGATTAGTCAAGCTTACTAACTTTATGTCTGATGATGATGATGATGATAATAATAATAAGAAAGAAGCAGCTCTATTCTGTATTTGGAGGCTACGACTATGAAATACCATTTGATTTAAAGTAAAAGGAAAGAACCAATCTCTGATTAATGGGAAGGGGCGACATTTACTTTTCATTCAGTTGCCCCCCTGCACTGAGGCCCTAAGCCTGCCACCTGGCTGACACCAAAGCATGGGGCATGGCAGACACTCTATAGACAAGCCAGGCCCAGTCATGATGTTCTTGGATTCAGGGGTGGCTAAGGCAAACAGCAATCATCCTAATGGTTACCTGCAAGTCATTTTGTGGGTTCCAGTCTGAATCAAATATGATGCAGGTATCAGCAGCTGTGAGATTGATCCCCAGGCCTCCCGCTCGGGTGCACAGAAGAAAGACAAAGCGGTCTGAGTCTGGCTTACAGAACCGGTCGATGGCTGCCTGGCGCAGGTTTCCCCGTACTCGCCCATCAATTCGCTCATAGGTGTATCTGAGGGGACCCAAACGAACGAAAGCCCAGGTGTTAATCATGACTTCAATGGAGAACAGCAAACAACGCAGGAAGCTGCTGACTGATGGCCTTAAATCCCTCACTTCTAAATTTGGACCAAATATCAGCAGTCTACAAGGAGTACCCAGCCTCTACATAGGCAGCAGGGCAGACACCTAAAACTAGGTATTATAAAATGCACCCCCCCAAACAAACAAAAATCAAACCAAAACAAAAAAAACAGCCACAAACTAAGGAGGGCTAGAAGAACTGTAAACATAAAAAATATCAATCCCCACTGCCCAAGCAATTTCTCAAGTTACTTCCTACTTTTTACTTGCATTGAATCTAATCATAAGACCAGGAAAAGCAAGTAAAACCCTCAACCACCTACTTTCAGCAGTGCTCATAACAAGGAATCAAGTTCAAATCAGTCTGTAGCTGCTGTCTGGTGAAGTGAAAATGGGAAGAAGACTACCTGCCAGGCAGGCCCTTTATATCTGGGCTGTAACAGTTCATTTCTGGCTCAACAGTTCCTCAAAGCTTTAGAGGTACAGAGCAAAACCTCCAAGTTTATAGCTGAAACCAAGGTCTTCTGGGAAGTTTACTGCCAAACAAGTGGGGATAAATCACAGAAAAGGTTTTGTGTTGTGTTGGGGGTGGGAAGGAACTAAAGAAATTTGAAAAGAAAGTGAGGAAGTAAAGCTGAATATCCTTCTGGAGGCATACACTTGCATGGAAAGTTAAGAAACAATGGTGGAAAGCTGGTGGAGAAGAGAGGGGAGAAGGAAAGACAATAAGAAATGAAACTGCTGTGAGATCACATTGCTGTCTATCTAATTAGAAAACACAGCCAGTACAGTACCTTTATGATGGCGATCATGTAATTAACAGAGTTAAAAGCTGCAGCACCCTAGACAGCTGCTGAGAGTGTTATTCTTTTCTTATTTACCCCCTGACAACTCAAATTAACAAGGGAGTGCACAACCTGGGACCAATTTGACATCCAAGTAAGAACTGGTTGGTAAAGTAGAAGTAACAACCTTGTGAGAAAAGGACAATGTCAAACAGCCAAGAAGGTGAATCCTGATGACAATCTTACTGGAAGCCCAGAGTTGGAAATCTGATCTCTAAAACTTCAGATAAATAACTTGCAAGAGAATAAGGATAGGCCGTCTAGGGGTAGATGACTCTGTGTGGGAATGACTCCAGAAGAACAAATTTGGCAACATGACCCTGACTTCCCCGAGGAAAAGGAAAATTCACATAAAGAAACTACCCAAGGAAATCCACGTAAAGAAACCAGACCCACTCAGGCTCATATGGGATATGCCAGACAGCAAAGAACCATGTCCGAAAATATGTGTACCTTTTGTAAAGTTACAGTGAACTAACAGCAAGTTAAAATACTGTAGCAACCTGGACAGCTGCTCTCCTGGATTTACAGGTGTAGATTTTCCCTTTCTTCTTCTAACGTAACAAATTTAAGAATAACATATGAAACTACAGTAGGAAAAAACCAAAAGACTGATGAAGACAGGATTGCCATGAAGGCAGACTAAGAAGATCTTGTGTCATGAGATAAAAGCTAAGGTTATATTCTGAATTCTACAAAACTATGAAGCAATTAGATATAACTATCATTATTATTAATAACAGCCACAGCAACAATATTAACAGCAACTTAAGTGTCCACCTCTGTGCCAGGCACTGCAGTCATCACATTTAACTCTCACAATAATCCTATGAGACAGTTTTGCTACTATTGTCCCCATTTCATAGTTGGGGAGACAACAACAACAAGTACAACTAAACCCGTACAAGCGAAATAACTTGCTTAGTCACCAGCTGGTAAACCAGTTGAACTCAGATCCATTCGACTCAAATCCACACTCTTAACCAGTTTGCTGTGTGGCCTTCATACTGTACCCTGCATTTCAGGGCAGCAGGACAGAAAGATTTCCGTAAGAACTTAAAAGAGAAAGTTAAATAAGAGACACCAGTAAACTTAGAAAACCTATAGCTCTGGTGGAAGATGAAAGAAGAAACTACAGGTATCAAAGTGATTTCAATAAATCAAGGCACTGAGGCCTGACCTGGGTGGGTTCGCACAGCAGCTGGCCATTTATTTACATGATATGGTGGAGGAAACATGGAATTTGGACTCAGGAGACAGGGCTGATACAATGAAACAATTGCTGCTACCACCCCCACTATCACACATGCCAGCGATTAACACTACAGGCACAGAGGATTCAATGTTCTTTGACAAGACACCCCCAGCCCTCAGAGAGGAGTGAGATGTCCTTGGATCTGAGTGAGGCAGGGAATTAGCATAGCTCTGGGAGGGAGGGAAAAAAAAGTCAATGAATAGCGATGCTACAGCTCAGCCATCAACCAGGGGAAAAAAAACCATAAAATTAAGATGGTGTACTGCCAGCTATGACATAACAACGGTTTTGGAAATTGTGCAGGATGATTGGAACATCGATTCTCATTTCCATCACTTGTTCAGTTTTGAGGGAGTACTCTCGAAGAACACAAAACTAAAATAAAAATCCAATTATTTGAGTTCTTTTAAAATTGTTTCTTACCCCCCTCACTTCTGAGCCAGACCCTTTGGCTAGGCCCTCACCCCTGGATGAGAGTATGGCATGAAATTAAATGGGAAGAAAACCAAAATGACAGCTGGAGAGGCAACAGGGCTCAAGAACAAAGGAAGTCCTGAGGGCAAGTAAGTTTGAATGAAGAAATCGGACATCATAAAATTTTCCACACCAAACACCACTGTAGCAATTAACCCCTCTGCGTCAACTATATTTTGAACAAAAAAGCCCTCGGAGTTAATGTAGTTCACCAATCTGTAATTCTGAGTCACTGCCAAATATCAACAAGAAGCAGGTGGCACTCTGGAACACCTCTGTGTGCTTTGCCTGGGGCGCAGGGAGGGGTGCCATGATATGTTCTGGCTCAACAAGAAATGTTCTCACCAAGCCTAAAGGAAAATGGATGGCTTTCTCATCTCCCAGCAATAACCAGCTGGCAAACAAAGCGAACAAACTCCCACTCACAATAGCCATAAACACATGAAATACTTAGGATTCAACTCAGTAAGAAATATGAAGGACTTGACAATATGACACCAGGGCCCGTGCTGGTTTGACCACCATTGCCCTAATACCTACAGAGGTTCTAGCCCAAGGTAGGTGCTTTATAAACATTCACTCAATCAACAGTGCATATAAAAGATCTCAATAAATGTTCTTCAACTTTGCAAAGACATCAATCCTACTTTACTAAATGTGTAAAAGCCAATCAAAATCCCAACAAATGGACACATGTATATATAGATAAAACACAGGTGGGCAAGTGTGTGTATGTGTGTGTGATTACACACACAACATATATATATACACTTTTCATAGTGAGAGACCAAAGTAGTCAGAAAGAGATTAAAAAAGAATAATTATGAAGTTCATCTGCAATAATATATGAGCAACAGGATAGAAATATTGATCAAAAGAATAAAGGTTCGAGATACACCCAACATATATTGTATCTCAGTATATTTTATGGATAGTGTTTTAGATGAGTAGGGGAAAAGATGAACTATTTAATAAACAGAAAATTAGACATACTTGGAAATAAACTAAATTAGATGCCCATTATATACTATTTATCAAAATTATAGGATTGTTGACCTACATGTTACAAACCCCTCCTCCACAAAAACCCAAAGCAACCCAATTAAAGATTATGAATTAACATGCACATTTAATTCTTCTGTCTTCCTAAACCTCTAGTAAAATGAGAGTAAAAGGAGTTTTTTTTATTGTGTAATAATGCCCTCCCCCAAATAAACCCACAAGCAGAACAGAAGACATCATAACAAAATTCTGGAAGCTGGAAAATCAGCAAAATGGTCTTTAATTTAAAGAAAGCGGAATCCCAAGTGAGCAGCAACCTGATTCAACACTGCAGAACACCGACAGGGATCAGATGCTGGTGGCACCGGGGACTCCTGAAAATGGGGATGCAAAGAGTCTAAAAACCCGGGAACTGGTTGAGTATCAGCCTATAGATTACCCACCCCAGTCTTGGGGGGTTAAAACAAAAGCCCTGTACCTCTCTCTACCCTGGGGGGGGGGTACCAATCACAGTTAAAGATAGAAGTACTAGTCTGAAAAAAAGGGAAAAGACAGATACTGAGACCTCCCTACCTCTCTCCAACTTGCTTTCCCATAGTCAGCTCCAGGGACAATCCCATCCTTTAGGCTGGAGAGAGGAAGAGAAACATCCAAAAGTACTGACACAGGAGATTCCCAAGGACATGGTCCATCCAGAAGGATAGTGTTTACACAAGAAGAGTGAGGCCCAGAGCCGGCAAGCCTGGCCCACATACACAGAGCTTCCGATCAGCTGGATGGTGCCCACCATCTGATCGCTCAGGCCAGGCACTGGAGGAAAGCCTTGGATCTGAAACAGAGGCTCTGCTTCTGGTATGGAGGGGCAAGGTGCTAACACAGCAACCCTCAGCAAATAACACCACAGAGCCCAGACGAAATACAGAAAACAAAACAAATGAACAGAAAAACTTCTTGTAGGGCACTAGAGAGTTAAGGAAAGCAGGCAGACTTTGGAGAGGAACAGAAACTTGTGGTTTTGATCAAAGGAGAAGCCACCACAGTCATGGTGGCAGAGGAGCAGGGCAGCGACCCATCTGATTAAAAAAGCTGCTGTCTTTCTAACCAGAGGCACAAGGGGGAGGGATCTGGGGCAACCAGGACTGCCAGAAGGTGAGCGACAACTCCACAAAATAAAGACAGAGAGAGTGCACCCCAAACTCTGGTGTAAACTCTTCCTACATCCCTGTTCGACCCCTGACTCGCCACGCTTAGAGCAGACTGGAAGCAGTCTGAGCTGAGACTGGAGCTGCTACCCACCAGAGACACGGACAGAATCTGTGCTTTTTGAGTCACGGCTCCTATAATGCCTCCCAAAACCCTATCAACGTTACCTACACAGCAATATAACAGAATCCTGAATCTTCACAACAAAATATTCATGATGTCCAGGGAAAAAACCCACAATTATGTAACATGAAGAAACAGGAAAAGTGTGACCCATTCTCAAGGGGGAAAAAAATCAACAGATGTCAAGTCCAAAATGTTGTAATTATCAGACATGAACTTCAAAACAGCTATTATAATTATGCTCAGGAAAGTGAAGAAATGAATGCAGTGAATGCATATACAGGAAATCACAGCAGAGAAACATCAAACTAAGGAACAAATGAAAATCTCAGAACTAAAATTACAATCTCTATAAAGGATGGGGGCTTAATAAGCATGAAGGAAAGAACAGAGAAAAGAGTCAGAGAACCTGAAAACAGATAAATCAAAACAAGAGCAAAGAAAAAGGACTGGGGGGAAAGAGGAAGATGACCTAAGGACCTGTGGGGCAGTATCATGAGGTCAAACATACAGGTAATTGGGGTCTTAAAAAGAAACAGGTTGTAGAAAAAGGAAAAAAGAAATAGAAGAAATAGTGACCCAAATGTTCTAAAATTTGAAGATGTTTGTTTACATATTCAAGAAGCTCAGCGAACTCTGCACAGGATGAATTCGGCACATCACGGTCAAACTGCTGAGAATCAAAAATCAAGAGTATCTCACCAGATAGAGCAAATCAACACATTATATACAAAAAAACCCCAGCAACTCAGGACCACAGAACTTCCCATCAAAAACCATGGGGGTCAGAACACAGTGGAGTAACACTTTAAAGTGTTGAAAAAAAGAGAAAGCCAACCCATAATATAAAGAATAGAGATATAAACAAACAAAAACGAAAATTCTGACTGGAAGAAAACTGCAAGAAGAAAAAAAACCGAATCTACCATGATTAATTTCAGAAAGACAAAAGAAAACACTACATCTATGAAACACAAGTAACCATTTAAATGCTATAAAAGCTGAAAATTTGAGAAGAAAATGGTCTGGGAAACTAAAAATATAGAAAGAAAAACTAGGATTAAAGTTGGAAGAGAGTAAAAAACTTCTATCAGAAGATACAGCAAAATATAACGAGATGAATAAAGAGAAAATAGAAAATCAGGTTATCAATTCAGAAGTTCCACAAAGATAAAACAAAACAAAATAATGAAAGATAAAATTCAAGAAAATTCCCCAGAGCTGAAGAAATTAGATTTCAGATGTGAAAAAACTACATAGCATCCAATTGGATCAACGCCATACAAAAAAACTAGTTCACTGTAAAACTTCACAGCACTGGGCCAGAGGATACATCAAAGCTTCTAAACAGGAAAAGTAAGTCACATATACAGACTGGGAATCAGAAAAACTTTGAACTTCTAAACAGCAAACCTGGAGACTAGACGACAACAGACTAACCCTTCAAAATTCTGTGGGAAAATGATTTCTAACTTAGAATCTCAAACCTAGCCAAAGTATGATAGTAGACTACAAACATTTCAAAGTCTCAAAATTCATTCATCATTCACCCTTTCTCAGAAGCTCCTAGAAGAAGTACATGGGGTCCACCAAAAAGGAGACTTGATTCAAGTGGAAAGAAACTTGTCAGCAGCATGATGAAGGGTGGGAGATCACAGATGACAGCTGGGTGCTAGGCGGGAAGGGCAACTGGACGGAGAGGAGCACGTTAGAAGACCTCAGGAGAGACGAACCCTGGGAAATGGAAATGATGTGCCTGAACGCAACAAGGGGAGATTTAGACAACCAGGGTAAACTCTGCAGGTGAATTATAACCACTATACAGAAAAATAAGCAATTCAGTGAAAAGATAATTTTTAGTTTCAGGGAAAATAAAAACCCTGCAATAAAGAAATGACAGGATACTACATGACTAAGCTAGAATTTAGCATTTACAGAGGCCATACTGAACACTACACATTAATTTAATCGTAAGTATTATGTGGCACAGTGGGAAGACAGGACAGGAGGTGGCACATGGGTGTTTATGATGGGCACTGAGAGATAAATACTCATTTTACACAGTGAAAACAGATACCTAAAACTGGAAAAATAAATAAATTATAACTACTAACATTATTTAGATATAGCTACAAGTACCAAATGAAATAACTAAGGAGTTTAAACTGTTTCTGGGAGTGGGAAAACTCAGGGGCCGGGGGGGGGGGGAAGTAAATTAGAAAATGCAATTTTTCATAAGTCTAATAGAATAATTTGGCTGCTTAAGTTATGTGCATGCGTAACTTTAATGAAAATAAAACACTGAAAAGTAATGATGATAATCAGGCCCAGAAGAACTATGTTATATGCTATGGGGGTAAAGAAACCATAAAAAAAAAACAACTTCATAATATTTATATGATTGCAATGGTTAGGTGAGAGAAGCCTTTTTAATCATATTAATTTAAGCACTTAAATTTATTTAAATGATGTTTTAAGACTGAGATATTTGACTACTATAAAATTAAAAACTTCTAAAAATAAAATAAACATACAAAAACCCACAACCATAAGCAAAAAGTCAAAAATAATACTGGGGAAGTAAATGCACCATATTCTTAAGTAATGAAACAATTCTTACAAAGTAATAGACAAAAAAGACAAAGAGCAACAGAAAGTGGAGAAAGAACTGGATACACAAACCACAAAAAAAAGAAATATGAATAGATAATATAATACGAAGAAAATTAACTCTCATTAATCTGAAATATAAACTAAAATAAGGGACCATAATTTAAATATCTTTCTACAGGGATTTTAAAAATATGTACCAAATGCTTTAAAAAATGTACATTAGAATTTATTCTAAGGAAATAACTGGTAACATTCACAATGGATATAAAGAGATATTCAGAGTTCCTTGAAATGCTGCAAAACTGAAAACAAATTATAAGACAGAATGTCACATAGTTCACCAAAACTGTGTTGTAGGAAAATAATTATAAAGAAAAGTGTCACAATATGTTAAATAAAAATGTGAGTTACAAAGCAGAACGTAGAATATTTAAATAAATAAAAAACAAAACTAAATATATGCACGAACAAAGAATAAAAGACTAAAAAGATAAACGCCCAAGTCTGCAGCTGATGGTGCTATATGTGCCCATATTTACAAAAGAAACCATTAACACCTCAGTAATTTGAAGACAAAATAAGCAATAAATAATAAATAAAAACATCATAAAGGGAACTAAATAAAGATACCTGTACTTAGTCAAAGTGTGTTAATTATACTGTTAGTCATTTTGGGGGGGGTTCTTTAGAAAAAAAACAAACAGCCAATTAGGAGCTGTTGTATAGTTCGAAGAGAAAGATAATACATCTGTGAGAAGCAACTGTTCCAGCCCTGGCTGGTGCAGCTCAGTGGATTGAGCGCGGGTCTGCGAACCAAAGGATCATGGTTTGATTCCCAGTCAGGGCACATGCCTGGGTCACAGGCCAGGCCCCCAGTGGGGGCGCGCAAGAGGCAACCACACATGATGTTTCTCTCCCTCTTTCTCCTTCCCTTCCCCCCTATAAATAAATAAATAAATAATGTCTTTTTTTTTTTTTTAAAGGCAAGTGCTCTGACAGTGGGTTCCTAGTCCAAAGTGAATTATAAAATATGAAACTACTAGTTTTGATTTATTTGTTACAACTTCCTCAAAGGAAAATTATACATCTTAATTCTTTACCTAAAAAACCTAGGGCTCAGAGAGAAAATTTTTTATTGTGTAATCTGATTTCAGAGAATTATTTATGTAACATTAAATGTCAGCATATCCCATAGCTAAATTTGTTATTTAATACTTTCTACAGGTTTACATGTTGTAAGAGCAAACAGAATCTTTAAGGACTAAGAACATTTAAGACAACTAAGATGGCTATAACTTTATGAACATAAAAATTTCCTTTAAACTTAGCAATAACTAGGCTAAAAGTTTCTATGATCTTGAAAAGTCTTCTATCATTAAGAGTTTTTAAAATCCATTTATCATCTTCGGATCACTGCTGTATCCCAAGGGCTGGAAATGTAAGGCAGAGCACGTAATGTATAATAAATGCAGTACCCACACGGAACCCAAGTAACACTGCAGGCCTTTCACCTTCATGAGTAATGGATTTAAGTTCAAGAAATTACAGGAGTGTGAACAAGAAAATAAATAGCTAGTGTTTCATAATACCTTGGAGGGTTTGCTGGAAAAGGACGTAAAACAACCCCCAATTATTTTTCTGTGAGTTGTCAGACCATGCTCTTTTAGTAACCTGATACACAGGGAAGCTTTCCAAGAAGTATCTGTCTCATCATTAAGCAAAACAAAAAAAGTAAACACATTATTTTCTTAACCTTGTCTAATGATGTTTGAATTGTTTCTTCCAACTAGGGAGAATATAAGTAAGCATGTAGAATATTCATTTTAAGCAAAGCAAAGGCTCTACATTATAGGCTATGAGATTCATACTGGAGTTAAACTTGGATATACTTGGTCATATATTTAGTTTAGTGAATCTTTAAGAAGAGATTCCTTTTCTCCCTTTTTAAATACTTTGTTGTTGTAAAAGCACAGTCTTTGAATGAGTCACAAAAGTACCAAAGAAAAGGAGGTGTCCACAGCACTGGACACACAGCCTTGACATGTCTCACCTTCTCTGGATGAGATAATCTTCCAGGATATCAAGGCAGCGCACCATCTGGGAGAAGATGAGCACTTTGTGGCCACCTGCAATCAGCTTAGGGAGCAGTTTATCAATCAGCACCAGCTTCCCTGCTGCCTGAATCATGGCCTGCAGCTGGAAGTCAGGGGCATCAGAGCTGTGGGTTTTCCGGAAATCTTCCAAAATCTTCTCCTCTGCCCCTGGGGGGAAAAAAGGAACAAATCTATTCCTTGAACAAACTGTAAGGCTGAAAGCTGCTCTCTGCATTGCAGATCCTAGGAGAAATGAAGTGAGTTCTCCAGTCCCAGCCCCACAGCCCTTCCGGCGAGGCAGTGCTGTGTGTGCACCCCGGTCCATGCCCTCAGCAGACAGCTCCGCAGTGGCAACAGGCACTTTGCGCTCCTGAGAAGTCTTCCCAGGTAGAAAGCATCTGAGATACAAAGCTGACTTGTGCAAGTAAACAAAGCTCCACAGAGAGTTGACAAAAAACCACATCCTTTAATGTCATAAAAACTTAGCTATAAGCAAATAAAAGCCACATATTAATCTAAAACGTTACCAAAATATTTTACTGTAGGAGAAAAAAGGTTCCAACATGTTCTCTTATTAATACAGGCAACTTCTCATTTATTTAGAGTTTTAATGTCATTGTATCAAGACCACTTACTCAACAAGGTAATGCATGTCCCTGTTCCCAAGTGGAAAGTGCAGGCTAAACCATGAGTAGGTTAGCGGTCAGCAGACTGATGAGTAGTAACATCCCTATCTTCTGATAGGCAGATGGGATCAAAACTCAGGGCTCTGTGTACACATACATAGTAAGACTGCTGACGAAGATCCATCAAACTCTTTGAACCTCAGTTAAACACCCGGTAAAAAGGCGAGAACACATATATCCTAGCATCTCACGGGAACAATACTAAGATGTCTGGTTATGGTGAGCTCGTGGCAGAGCCCCACGGCAGGCCTGAGGTGCCCCCAGGTTCCCCCACTCACCGTTGATCAGGTAGGGATGGTTGCAGCACTTTCTCAGCTCCATCATGGTGTTGATGAGATTGGGCATGTTGTGCTGATTTGCCCCCTTGGTCAGGAAGGAAAAGTTCTTCTCCAGGATGGCACGGTAGTACTTTTTCTGGATATTGGTGAGCTCTACTTCAATAATCGTCTCTTGTTTGGGGGCAAGGTTCTTCTCCACGTCATCTTTCAGCCGACGAAGCATCATTGGTTTTAAGATAGACTGCAGTTTCTTCACCTGTCCAGGAAAATCCTGATTTAATGATTACTGGAGTATTCCAACCTTCACTGCAATCTCTTGGGCACAGTACTGTGGTAACAGACTAAATAAAAGACCGTGACTGATCCCTGAACATGAGGCTGAAAGGAAAAAGGGATCTGGTTTTTGTTCACTTTTATTTACTCAGAAACTATGTGGCAACCTTATAAGATATAAGGAAAAATACAAAAGACAGTCCCTCTTCTCTAGCACGGAGAAAACAAACCTCTCTCTCCCCAACATTCACATATGCAACAATTAACTGAGGGATATTTAAGCCATGTTAAGAGGTACAAGTGACATAAAGGGATGATTTAGATGCTGAAAGAACAAAGTAAGAAGCAGAGGCCATCTGGGATGGGTGAAAGGGATGAAGGTGGTCAAAAGTACAAATTTCCAGTTATAAACTAAGCGAGTCCTGAGGATATCCAGCACAGTTAATAATACTGTATTGTGTATCTGAAAGTTGCCGAGAATAGATTTTAAAAGTTCTCATCACTAGGAAAGAATTTTGTAACTATGTGCAGTGATGTTAACTAGACTTACTGTGGTGATCATTTCATAATATGTACACACACTGAATCATTGTGATGTACCTCTGAAACGACTAGGTCAATTACATCTCAATGTAAAAAAAGGCAGAGGCAATCTGGAAACTGATTCTTTGCACATCTTGTACACAACGACAGCAAACACATTTGGGGAGCGGTACACAGAAAGCTAATGCTGTAGGAGGACTGTGCCATTCAATCACGCGGCTGCCACACCAGGGGCACTTGGAGCCTGACAGTGTTCTTTGCTCTACTTCTCTGCTCTTCAAACAGCCTAGGCCAGGGACAGCAGCGCCCCACTCACTGGTCTGCACTGGCCAGGACACTTGCTCCCTTTCCCAAGAAGACAATGACAGAGAAGGGATTCAGGGATTCCTAGTCACAGCACCTGAGTTCACCTTGAGCTAAAACATTATAGCAGTAAGACTAATCCTGGTGGGACAGTAAAGTAAGGACAAATGAAAGTGCAAAAGTTCAAGTTTCAAGTCATACAGGTTTGCTAACAAAATTTAGAAGAGGTAGATTCTGCATAAGCAAGTTGTGAACTGTGCCAGCGCTTCCTGAAGACAGAGTGCTTTGGGAGACTTACGGAGGCAGATTTTAAACAATGATAAATATGCTTTAATTTGGAAGCAGATGCTTTCTAGAAGTTTTATTTACTATGATTTAAAATAATAGACATTTGACGTAATTTTTGTGGTTTTTCTCCTAGCCAACCCCAATCTTAAATCTAACCCATTTATGAGACTTTCATTTTATCAACCAAGGTACTCAGGAATCTAATCCCCCAAATGGATATAGAATTACTGTGTAAGAACCCAAAGAGAAAAGACACAGCAAGATCACTGTTAAGGACAGGCACAAATGCCAGTCTGCCACATGCTGCATCCAACTTCTGCCCTTCACTCGGTGCATACCTGGGATCATTTAGAGTATACTATGTGCCAGACACTGTGCTGGTCAATACAACAAACACAACTTTGGAGAAGATGTGGGCCTTTTCCTCAAGGAGGTCATACTGTAGGAAGAAGAAAACAATGTATACCACAAAATAAGTGCAATGGGAGAAAAGGATGCATTTCTAAGGGTCCAAAAATGGAGAAGGTTGGTGCTGGCTTTTAAAGGATCAATAGATACTACACATGTTCAGATGCGGAATTCAGTTTGATTAGTCATTGCTCTCAAAGCCTGACTTACCACAGAAGTAGAAACAAGCAGATTGGAACCACAGAGTGTACCCTTGACATCTGTTAATGAAATTCCCAAGCCTTCTCAGTCTCCAGATTCTCTGCCCCAACCCACTCTCACACCACTGTGAGATCAGTTTAGCAGGACTAATTACATCGCTCCTGCCATCAAAGCCCTGCACTGCTTCCCTAATACTTACTGAATTCTCCATCCTGTCTTTCCAGATCTTCCCACAGTAGAACCCTAAACCGCTCTGCCCCATACTCCAACCTTCCATCCTGTTTCCAGCTTACTCTGATGATTCACTACTCCCAAATAAATTCCATTTAATCAGTAATAGATTTCAGTTTTTCCTATGCAAAGAAGTCACCATCTCTCTTTTTTCCACCTACTGAAAACTTAGCCACTCTCCCAAGTTTACTTTCAAATTATAATCTCTTCATGAAGTCTTTCCTGAGTCTCAGACAGATGTGACCTTTCTCTCCTACAAAGTCCCCAGTTCTATTATTTGTTTCTTTTGGGGCATTTAAACTTGTCTGGCTTATTTCTGTAATCCCTAGTAGAGATTTCTACCCACAGTAGATGGCTATTTATTAATGTCAGTTGTTCTGAATCAGCTTTGAGTCCAATAAGCCAGGCTCAGGACCAGACCCTTGAAAACTGTGGAAATTTAGTTGATATGGACAAAGCTACACTTACCAACTACTCTAGTATACGACTGCCTTCTTTTCCTAACTGCTTATTAATATTCTGTTGTACTCAAAAAATAAACCTGGGAATTATGTTGCAGATTATAAAGGAGGAAGGATGAAGAATGAGGGAAGCAGAAGAAAGAAAGCACCACGGCCCTAAAATCAGAGCTACGAGCAAAATCATCGATGTTACGTATGAGATCACTGATGGCTAGAGAACTGATACGTTAACGTAAGATATTTGAGATGCTGGTTCATTTATTCCTTGGAGTAATACAAATTGCTAATAATGGGCTCACCCTCCTCAACATAAACAAACAAATACATCAACTAAAGGCAGCCAGAACTTGCTAACTCCCGGACCCACAGTAGCTTCGTCTTTCCACATGCTGAAGGTAATCACCACAACGGACCCTTAATACTTCAGGCCCCATTTACCTGTTCCTCTGTTTTCAGATCCCCAAACTCCTCCAAGAAAGCAGTCTCTGAGGGAAACTGTGAAGGCTCCAGAAAATTGAGCAAACTGAACAGCTCCTCCACCGAGTTCTGCAAGGGCGTCCCAGTGAGCAGCACTTTGTGTTCCTGCGCAAGGGAACACAACGTGATGAGTGGCGGGGGGCTCCCCACACAGTGTGTGTTGGTGGAAAAATGCAGCCAGGGCATTCTACGCTCAATGTGAGCAATTCTACTTTGCTTTAATGGGAATACAGTCAAAAGAGAGATCAAACTTCCTTTCATATTACTAAGAATCAACAGCATTTCATGTTAATTAAACAACCATTCATCATTCACTCATTCATTTATTCAATATTATTGAGTGCCTTTCCACCACATACTGGACACTGTGCCAAAACAGTAATGTAAAAGGCCATCATCTCTGGCACCAGGGCATTCAGGGACCTACAAACAAACCAGAACACCTTACATTTCCAGGTCACAGATAAATGGTATTTAAGATTCCCCTAAGTCCCTCTGGAAATCAATCTGTGGCAACCGTCAAACTGTTAACCCAGTTCATAAGTAAAAAACATTTGGTTCTGCCCTGGCTGGTGTGGCTCAGTGGATTGAGCATGGGCCTGCGAACCACACAATTGCGGTTCGATTCCCAGTCAGGGCACATGCCTGGGTTGCGGGCCAGTTCCCAGCGGGGGACTCACGAGAGGCAACCACACATCGATCTATCCTCTCCTTCTCTTCCTCTCTAAAACAAACAAACAAACAAACAAACAAACAAACAAACAAACAAACAAACAAAAACATTTGGTTCCTACACTGTCAGCTATGAAGGGCAAAAAGAAAGTCTAAAGTAAACAGACTGCACAGGTAAGCTACCTGCAGAATGCCTAAAGCAGGCTTCCTCCACAGTGAAGAGAAGCAACCGCTGTTCATATAAAGAGCTTGCAATTCTCACCAGGGCCATGAGCTTGAGACCTTCCAGAAGTTTGCAGTTCCTATTCTTCAGTCTGTGGGCTTCATCAATGATCACACAGCTCCAGTGAATCTTCTTCAGCTCTGGGCAGTCTGCCAGGATCATCTCAAATGTTGTGATGACGACATGGAACTTGAAGACTCCTGAAAGGGGGTTTCCCTGAGGATGATACAACAGCAGGCAAAGCTTTACACCATGGCTCTAGAATTCAGCTAATGGGCACCAGCTGGACCAGAGGAGACAGCACTATAAATGCTAGGACCTAGGTGAGAAGCCAATAAGCATTGCTCTTCCTCATTTGAGAAAAGAGACCATAAGAATGAACCAACTATTTAGACAAGAGACAGATCTCATTATATCGATGAAACAGAAGCAAGAGAGCATGTGCCCGCACAAAGGTGAGACAGATGAGCAGTGCAGAAGGCACAGCAAGGGAGGTTTTCATTTATTAATTGCCAAGATAAGGAAAGCAGATGGGTGTTGATTCACACATTCCCAGTCATGAGTCTGTCTAAACCATGTGCAGCTTGAAAGCCCAAGGAACCTTCTTTGCTACTTTTCAGACATAATTAATTTCAACTTTTAAACTTGGGTTCCAGTACATATTCAAAGTAATAATCTCCATTCACCTGGGACAAGTGCTACGGGGCAGGGCACACCTTGGTCTTTCAGCCTCTCAGTGCTGCCGTCACAGTTAAAGAGCAGAGCTGCGTCATGTTAGACAGAGCACGCTGTCAGTTTCTTCCAGGTGTCTCCTGTCCCTGAAGCTCCTGGCTGGCTTTCCTCTGATTAGATTCATTTAATTTTCACCCTGATTAATTATAAAACCAAGTGACCAAGACCAGCATACAGGTATACTCGGCAAAGTGCCTATATTTAATAAAAGCTTTTTAAAAATTCTATTGTGCTTTTAACAACTTGAATCCTGTTTTCTCTTTATCTTTCCCTGTCGGATCTGTTAACCTTTTCTCCAAACTCCCTGGCTGGATACCCATTCTCTATACCTGACTTTTCTGCTTACTTTCTTCACCGAGCACATAACAATACTGATAAATTTTTGTTATGTAAAAGCAACTTCATAAGCCAACCAAGAAGCCAAGTTTTCAGAGTCCTAAAAAAGAACCTCTGGAATATCTCCGAGAGTGGAAAGCATGCCCTATAAATTTGTGTTTTCTCATAAATTAAACTACCAGGGAAGAAAGAAAAGTCTGCTTCAGTACAGATACCAGTCAGTCAACAGCAACCCAAGGCATAAGATACTTTGTATCTGGAGTTGTATCCCAACTCCAGAAGACATCAGGGTGTCGCTGGGTCTTCGTGGCTCGTGCGAGGCTCACCTGGGCATCTCTGTACACCATTTCGTACTGCTGGATCATCTGCCTGCTGATCTGGCTGCCGTGGTACACGATGGCGTTCATCTCTGTCCACGTCCGGAACTCCCGCTCCCAGTTAGTGATAGTGGAGAGGGGGGCGATGATGAGAAAAGGGCCGTGCACCCCTCGAAGGAATATTTCTGAAAGGAATGTGATGGACTGGATGGTCTTCCCTAGGCCCATCTCATCAGCCAAAATACAGTTTTTTCTGCAGAGAGTAAGAAATAAATACAGGTAATTCATCATCACTGTAGAAAAGAGGTAGAGGTTGATTACAACTAAAAAGATAATTCAGAAGCATACCCTGACATGTAAGATAGTCAAGAAAGGCATTATCGATATTTTCCAGACATGCAACTGAGGCAAATTTTTATTATGATTACTGTTCATACCCTACCTTCTCCCAAAATGGAACTATATAGCAACTTGTGAGAAAATACAGGAAATGGGTCAATTTAAATATAAACTAAAAATACTACAAATTAAAATATCAGAGAACAAAAATATGCCTTAAACCAAAGCCAGCTTCTGTACCTAACAAACTTCACGGAAACCAAAGCAAAATAAAGGGGTAAGTTACATGATTCTCACTGTTCATCATTTGTATTATCGAAGGTCAAACATAACACAAATAAATTCCCAATCAGAGTAAAATTATTGGTGTCTTCCAGTGACGCAGGATCACAGACTGCCCAGAGCTGGGACATTTAAAAGGGTGTGGCCCCCATCTGGTCTCACCCTCCATGACACAGATGGCACCCTAAGACTTGGAAAGCCACACTGAGCGCTGTGCTCGGAGTGACACTGTGACAGAGTGGCAGAGACTACACTAGAACACCCATCTCCAGGATCTCCTCTTGGTGCGTTTTCCATGACAACATGCTGTCTTTAAAATCAATACTAGGGACATTCTAGAATGTTAAGAAAATGTCAACCCATCTTTCTCGAATTTCATCCGTTTCATCAAATTCTGATAGGAACTAAAGCACAAAGAGTACAAACTGAGAATTACGGTACAAGTCCAGAACTTTTGTGACTCACAAACGAGTAGCGGAGTTGGGGCTGGAATCCAGATCTATGCCCCTTTAAAGCCTGTTTTTGCTAAAGACTTAGAGATAGAAAACATGTTTAAAGGATCTTCTGAGCATAACCTCTTATGATAGAGCCTAACCTTTTGGATGCACCAACAAGAAAAACAAAGAGCACAAAGTCTATGCTATATAAAGATGGTTTCTTTTGGTTGGAGAAATACCGGCATAAAAATACAGTCCTGGTATGACTGACATGTGAGACTCTGGCCGAAATCACTGGCTGCACTGCACGCTCCCAGCTGCTGCTGCTACTCTACACTGACCAAGGCAGCTGCCCACTTTCAGGTACAAGCATTTTGTAGGAAGTTCACCCATGAAGGGAGGAATGGTTCTGGATCCTCACCTGTTATACCAGTTAAAAAGAAGCCAGTTCATTCCCTCCAGCTGGTACTCCCGGAGCTGATTACTGTTCTTATACTCGCGAGACTTCTCTAGTTTCTGCCAGGAGTCTGAAGCAGGCCGCTCCTAGTGGGAAAAAGCAGAGAGCTCAATACGTAGAGAATGACCTTCTAGAAGCATAACAAGACTGGGGAAGGTGGTAAATCCAAAAACACTATCCTAAAGCTGGCTTCAAACTGCAGTGACTCTTTTCTGACGAACGTGCAGGCCCTCTGTGTTCTAGGTTTCATTGGATTAAACTGAGAATGCCTCTCTAAAATTTGTATGCAATCAATGAAGAGAAACAGACCCTCCTAGACCTTGCATTATACTGTTTTACTGAAACTTAGCTGTCACTCCCACCTACATCTTAATTTCCCCTCAATCCAACATCAGTCAAGTTTCTGTTTTCTATAGACAGAATTCTTTTATTTCTTTGTGCCTGTAGTATCAGCTCAGGAAAATACAGTGGGTCCAATATTTTGATTAGTTTCTAGAGTCAGAACATCAGACAAAACCTTTGTATAATCAAAATGGCAAATTCCTTAAACTCTCTGTAAACACAGTAACAGTCTTACTACACCATCTTTCTGTATGGAACATCAGTTTCTACATGTAACTGACAGATTACCACATGCTTCATTTCAGGGAGGACTTGGAGAGATTCGAACTCTTTAACTTTGGCAGGGTCCACGTCTTCCTCCAGCTCCCACGTGCTTTCCTCGTAAGGCAGGGAGCACCACTTCACCAGATAGTGCGTCACCTCCTGGGGGGGGGGGAGCAGGAGAGAGATCTATGTGCTTTCCCCTAGAGTAAAGGGGTCCATCATTCTCTGGCCAACCCTTGGAAAACCACCCTACAACACAACACAACACAACACAACACAACACAACACAACACAATACAACGCAATACAATACACAGATGCCATTGAAACAGAGACCACATGTTAACAAACAAGTAAAATACGACGTAAGAAGGGAAGATACTTTCGGGGAGTCCACAGTGAACACCCACCTCGCCTGTTTCTGCATCTTTGGTGTGGGCCACCTCCAAGATGCGATCGACCTCTACGTAGTCTGGATTGAACAAGTCTTCGTCAGGCTAATGCAAATAGAGGAGAGGAGTTTAAAAGCTGCCTCGTGCCCTCAATCCCATGTCCAGTGTTTTATTTCTAAGTGACCCCCTATTCTGGGCCCAATCAGTAAACATGGGAAACGGTTCACCTGAGAACAGAAGTCACCTACAGACATTCTTCATGGTCCCTAAACCCTGACCGCCATGGCTAAATTGAAAGGAGCCAGCCACGCCGCACGGGATGCACCTCAGCCAAGGTGAGGCTTCCCTGTTGATTGCTGTGGTGCGTGCAAAAATCAGCACAAAGAGGGCGCTCTTTTCCACTGCTCCCTGTTCCAAAAAGCACCTGTGAAAACTCAGAATTACGGTTTCTTCTTCTTAATACAACAGCAATGAACAGCCAACACTGGCAGGAGGCATGAGGGTGCTTCTGGGGCAGAGATAATGTTCTATTTCCTGGTCCGGGCAGTGCTTACGCCGGTGTGTTTATTCTGTGAGAGTTCGCTGAGCTGTACATGCCCTTGGATTTATCTTTATGGACATTATGCTTCAAAAAAGGGTACTTGCAAAACAATAATAAACAGCACTTAGATATACTTAACATGTGTCTGGAGTTACACTAAACGCTTCCATTTAAGTCTCAAAACTATTTTCTAGAGTAGGTGCTATAATTACAGATGAGAAAACTGACTCAGAGAGGCTAGGTAACGTATCCAAGGTCACAGAGCTGCAAGAACGGGAATGTTTACCAGGTCTTTCTTACCCAGAGGCCCTCTTCCTTGTCTGCTGGAATGTTCTTACTGCCCCTTGTTCGAAGGCATGTTACGTGCTATCCAGTTTCATCTTCTACTTAATGTATAAGTACTTTTTACAGCATTCCTGGCAAATCCACACTTGGTTTCAACTATCCCATGCTCAAAAACATACCGCCTTCTAAGATCTGACCCACTGCCAAGACAGTTTTACCTCTGTCTGTTCAGCAGTAGCGGCATGATCTTTATCGTTGTTACTATTAAATTACAGCCTAATTTCTATCCTGTAACTGTGACTCACTGGTCTGAACTGTTTCCTCTACAGCAGCGGTAACCAAGTTGACTCCCTCCTGTGTTGGCTCTTCAACAATCCCCTCCCTATCTGGGTTAAGTAGCCGCAGGTGTCCAACTGTTCTTCAGGTGCCATGTTTCCAGATCCCTTAAGGACACATGTGGAATAGTGACCATGAGCCAGGCACTGCGCTAAGCACTTCTGTAAACACTGTCATTCACTCCTCCAAGGTATTCTGTGAGGTTGATACTATTAGGAATTCTGGTTTTAGTACAGATGAGGACACTGAGTCTGCCAGAGGCTCTGTAAGCCCACCCAGCTGTGTGTGTGGGGGTGGAGAGGGGGGGTCTTGCTCCAGAGCCCAGGTTCTAAGCAGTCCTCCTCCCACTTTTGTTCTCAATCTCTCTGCTATGCTGCTCAGACTTGCAGCACCCCTCACTGACTCCTGGTACCCCCAAATAAACATAACACTTAGGAATGAAAACAGCAAGGCAGAGCATGACTGTGCCATTGGTGCAGTGTAGGATTAATGTTCCTTTTTAAGCAGACACACCCTACTCTTGACTCATAGTAAACTTGCAACTGCACTGGCAATAAATATCGTTTCTCCCCAGGACTGCTATCCAGTCGTTCTCCCCGTTCTACTTGTAGAAAAAAATCTTTAATGCAAATGCATGACATTACATTTTATTGCCATTTTATTTCATTGATCCCAACCTGTCTAGGCAAACCTGAACTTTGATTTTGTTGTTTATCCTGCCAGAGTTGGGTCTGGTCTCTGGAAAGAATTTGGGTTTCAGTTAGAAGGCCTCCACCCCTATGGAGCGTGGGAACTTGACGTCCCTTGAGCCAGAGTCTCCTTCACACTGCTACCCCTTCCCCTGGCAACCTCATAAAGTGCCAGGAAATAATGGATATGAAGAAAGACGTTCTCCCCAAAGCTAAGTTATTATGTACTTTGTAAGGATATCAATTATCCAAATTATTAATAAAAACATTAAATAGGTCAAGACCAAAGACAGTGTTACAGGAACTACACCCCGCTATCAGTCCTTAATTTTGTGATGTCCCCCAGTCTTCTCAAAGCCTTTCCTTCCCACAATAGTGCTGTTGCATTATTTCTTTAAGTCCTGACACAATTTCTTCTCCCTATTCCCAATCAAAGAAAACTCATTCCCTTAGAAATAAATCAGAAAACAGACACACAGAGCTTTGTAAGCTATATTAAGAAGCAAGATTTGCTCCTCATACCTTAGTGGATAATTTGTTTTCTTTAGCTTAAGTCTGGACTAGTTTTGTGACAAATCTAATGCATACTTAGCAATTCAACTACAGCAACAGATCTGCTCAAAACTTCAATTTTAAGAAACTTACACCCGCTATTTAATACTGCAAGAAAAGCTGTGCTCAAATTAGCCAGTAAATATTGCTTCACCTCAGTGAAAATGTGCTTCATCTGGGCTTGTTTATTCCTGAATCGCTTTATCTTCTGTGCGATGCGAGGGTCCTTTTCGAGCTCTTCCATTGTGGCCCATTTACAGTGTAAGTAGGAGCTGTCCAACAACACAAATTGTGACATAAGCACAGGACTGGCATATCACTAAACATTAAAGTGTTTCAATATACGATGACCATCTAACACAGAAGCAACTGAATGGTCCATTGTGAAACTGCTGGAGATTGGGCCTGGAAGGGCTTTGCCCTTAAGGGCAAAAAGAGAAGACACAACGCAGCAATTCCAGGCAATGGAGCACTCTGTGGCCTCCACAGAAATTGGCTCAGACTACTGGCCCAGTTGCTCAGCTGGTTAGAGCATCGTCCTAATAAGCCAAGGTTGCAGATATGATTCCCAGTCAAGGAACATACAACAGTCAAGCGATGACTGTGTAATACACGTTAGTGAAAGTGAGCACACAGCAGAGGACTAGAGAAAAATGAAGGGGAAAAGGTATAGGCTATAAGAATAGCGGTTCTCTACCCTGGGTGCAAATGAGAATCACACAGAAAGTAAAAAAAAAAAACAACAAAACAATTCTGGGGACTACTCTCAGATCTGAGTCAACAGATCTTGAGTGGAGCAAGGACTTTAGTTGTTTTAAAGTTTGTGGGTGGTTCTGTGTGCAGCCAAAGTTGAGCACCACCACCTAAGGTGAATCTGAGTCAACTAAATCCATGAGTCATGCCTTAGGGGCCATTCTGGGAAAACATGGATGATGCTGTGATAGGGAAAGAAAGTTTTATGCATATAAAATTTAAATACAAATAATACATTAAATAGACGTACAAATTTCTATACTTAACGTAGAATAGCTCCAAGTCGAATGGGGGTTCTCCTGGGTGAACCTGTAACCAAGAGCAAGCAAGTTAATTAACCCACATAAAGGTGATCCCTGCAGATCACCTTTACATGCTAAAAAAACAGGTAAATCAACACCTCAGCCTGGTTCTAATACAGATTTCTCAAGGCCCAATTTTGGGCTTTCTCACATATTTGAAAATTTTATGTCCTAAAAATCTTCTGGGGGGTGTAAAACTAAGTACTGACTAGCCAGATAATGCTCATGCCTAGCTCTCACTCCAGCCAGGAATGACCATTCCAGGTTCTCTAACCAAATATGTCTCCACAGAGAGGATCATCAGTGCTGGTGATATAAAAGCCACCAACCTCCTGGACAGTCTTGGATGCCAGAATCTTCTCAATGATATTTGCGTCATCTTCTGGAGGCTCCTGGAGATGGAAGTTAAAAAGAAAGAAAATTACTGGCACCACAGAATCCAAGAAATAATTCTGTTAAGAACTACTACAATAGGCACTACTGCATCAGAAGTTCACCTTTGAATACCAAGGCCTCCCTCCTATCACAGAGGGAGACCACGGAGTGATAAAAAGAGAAAATCTTCTAACTTCTGGGCACAACCCTATTCCCCCTACTCTCCAACACACATGTGCTCAGAAGGTATTCTGCTTTTCGGATCTGCCTTTAGCAACACTAAAATCGGTCCTAGGGCTTCCCTCCTCTGCCAAAACTGTCTACACATTGCCTCGATCTTTCTTCACCAAGGTGTTACATGAAAGAATCTGGGGGCTTTAGAATCAGAAGGTCCAAATTTTAATACCTATTGACATTGGGCAAGTCAATTAACACCTCATGGTTTCCAAATCTATTAATATAGGAGTTAAAAATTCATATCTCACTGAGTTACTGAGAGGATAAAATGGCACAGGAAAACATTTTTGGAGAGTAAGCACTATACAAACGATGGTGTAATTATTCTCTTCTAAACTGTACCATCTTTCCCCTCTGTACCTAGAAAAGACTGTTTCACTGATGAACCTTGACTACAAATTCCAATTGAAAACAAATTAATTCCTTCCTTTCCTTCCCTATATACACATTGCCATCACTAGGCTTTTAATCTCCATGATATATGTTTCTACAGAGTATGTGATTTTTAAAAATCTGCATGAAAAATGACAAACTTAAAGAAAGAATGCATTGAGTCACAACACACTGGCATTTAACATTCTTTCTAGTGCTTTAAGTAGTTTTATTTCAGTGGTTTTCTATGCACAATATGACCTTTCTAGATCTATTACTTACCATGATATGAGACTTAGAATTGTATGCAAAAAGAATGTTCATCACAACAATCCTTACTTTCAAAATAACTATATGGGTGCCTGATCAGAACTTCCCAAAAGGATGGTTTATTCTGCACATTACTGTCTTCAGTCTACCCATTTTGGGCTCAACTGTCACAAAGCCATACCACTAGAGAAAACATTATGTCTTCTAGGATCTTAAATCAAGCTTTTCTCTGAAAAGTGATAGTTAAAAAAAAATTGAGGAGGGCAGATGACAGATGGTAGAAAAGAAGTAAGGAAATCAGCAGGCACTGACAGATGTCCCCAAAGGTTACAAATGGTTATTACATTCCCCTAGACACATGGCACTGTGCTAGGTGCCATGCCGAAGTTAATCCAGAATGACAAGTCTTTCCCCACAGCTCAACAAGGGATGGGTGAACTGTGCCTACCATACATTAGGAGAAAGCTTTTGTTTTTCTGTTTAAGTATTTGTTCTGCCTGATTCTTTAGCACAAGTTAGCAAAGGAAGAGGGAGTTGACTGTTCACTACTTGTCTTCTTCCACTTGAGACAAACCTGTTGGATGTAGCTAGATGCCTTGAAAAGGCTACGTAAAAGTGGGTAATCAACAACTATTTGTTGAATGCTAAATAACAAGTGGAAGAGAAAGAGAAGGAAATACATACAGAAATAAAGCACCAAACTCACCAGGACCACAGACTGGAGACAGTTATTATTATTCTTAATCTGCATCACTTAACTAAAAAGTCTCCCCCTTCTCCATATACTTGGACCTATCCTACACTATCAGAATGGCCAACAGCAAAGGGCCAAAGCTCAGTGTACTTTCTTGATCAGTAAAGATCACTACTGCAAACTTGTAGCCAATCAACAGCGTTCTATGGGAAGTGGAAAGTGAGCAAAGGAACAGGTGGGTTCAGAGAAACTAGACTAATTAACCAATTTCCTTCCTTCCTACTTCCCTCCTAATTTTCTTCCATACTATTTACTGTGTCTTAAGTTTATGCACTGGTCTGACAGAAATAATGAGCTATGGTCTTCATCATCAAGGAACGACCAGACATGCCAACATAATGCTTTACATCCAGTATGCAGAGGCCTCAAGTGTACAACTGCTGGCCTCAAGTGTATAATGGATGGATTTCTACATAAACAAATACACATTTGTATAAGTACCAGATCAAATTATATAACATTTCTAACAGTTTGGAAGACCCTCAGCCCTCATGAGAAGTAACTACTATTCAGACTTCTACCACTACTGATTAGTTTTGACTATTACTAAACTTTGTATAAACTGAGTCATATATTATGTAGTTCATTCTTCTGTGTTGTAGTTTGTTGTATTAATACACTACCACTTATTTATCCATTGTACTGTCAAGGAATATTTCAGTTGCTTCCGATGTTAACATACGTCTTTTGTTACACAAATGCACTCATTTACCCTGAATACACACAGAGTGGAACTGCTAGACTATGAGTTTGATTATATGTTGGGTATTAATGCATCTTGTCAAAGCTTTTTCCTAAAGTGACTGTAGCAATTATTATACCCACCAGCAACGCATGGGTGGTTCAGTTGACTTGATACTGTCAGTCTTTAAAACTTGAACAATTCCAGTCACTGTGTAGTATTCTCTCTTTAATTCACATTTCCTTGATAACTGGGGATGCTAAAAACCATTTCCTGTGCCTACCGGCCATGTAGCCATCATCTTTGTGAAGCTCCTATTCAAGTCATTTACCTACTTTTTAAATTACCCTCCATTTAGATTTGCAAGAGATCTTTATATACTTCTATATAAGAGTTCTCTGTCAGGTATATAGATTATAAACATTTTCTACCAATCTATGGGTCTTTTCAATCTGTAAATGTGTCTTTTGATGGACAAAGGCTCTATATAATCCACCTTACTGATCTTCTCTCTTATGTATTTTTATGTCCTGTTTAAGGAATACTTGCTGCCACTGCAGCCACTTGTTAAGCCACATGTGATTCAAAACATTCTTGTCACCACATTGAAAAAGAAATAAACAGATGAAACGGATTTTAACGTAGTTTATTTAAACAATATATCCAAAATATTATCACTTCAATATGTAATCATATTGAATTCTTAAGATATTATATATATGTATATATATTTTTTTCATCCCAAGTCTTTAAAACCCAGTGTATACTTCACACTCACAGCAAGCACGCCTCCTTTGGACCGGCCACGTGTCAAGTACTTAACAGCCACAGACGGCTGGGCGCAGCTGCACCAGGCAGCACAGATTTGTTTGGTCCCGTCGGCCTATCTGTTCTATAACAACACTACCCTGACTTCACACTGTAGCTTCATTACAAAGTGTGGATGACAGTAAGTCTTCCAACTTCGTTCTTTTTCACCACTGCTTTGGATATTCTAGGTCTTTCGCATTTCCATGATCGATTTCCACCCAAATACACCCTACTTAGATTTTGACTGGGACTGAATTGTAGACATCTTAACAATTATGAATACATGTATGTCACATATTATTTCATTTATTTATGTCTTCTCTAATTTTTCAGCAATGTTTTTCCCATAGAGAGCCTGTGTATATTGAGAGTTATTCCAGAGTATCTAATAACACTGATGTTATTATAAATGACATTTTACAATTTTCGTTTCCTGATTTCATCTTGCTAGTTTATAAAAATAGATTTTTTTGTCTTCCTGACCAACAAGTTAGATAAATTCACATTTACTAATTCTAATGGTTTCTCCATTTTGTTGAATTTGCTACACACAATCATGTCATCTGCAACTAACAGTCTTACTTCTTCCTTTCCATCTTTTAACTTTTTATTTCTCCTTTTTCCTTACTGCAGTAGCCAGAACCTCTAGAACATTTCTAAATATAGGTGATACTAGTGGAATCTTCTCCTTCATCCCAAATTCAAAGGGAAAATATTCAATTACCCAGTTAATATAACATTAGCTGTCAGTTTTTACGTAGAGGTTTTTAAGATGTTCTTTCTGTCTTTGGTTTCCCACAGTTTAAGATATATGCCTAGGTGTGGTTTTCCTTTTTGTATTTTTCCTACTTGGGAGTGACCTGATGTTGCATCTACTAGTTGGTATCTCCCGTATCAAAATAGGAAGGGAAATTGACTTTTTCCCCCCCTAAACAAAACAGAGATTGTGCATAAAAGTATGATCATATGTGTATAAACACTCAGTGTATACAGATACACACAGATATAAACTAAATCTGCTCACCAAACACACTTCCATAACAACCATCTGTTCTCAACTGCTTGGAATTTTCTCAAATTATCCTTCAAAGACGACCATTTTAATTCATTCACGTTCATGTCAGAGACTTACATAACTAAACATTTTTTCTTAGGGGGGGACAAAAGGGAGTGATATTCAGAGGCACCGACAAATCGGAATAGTTGCAGGCTCTGAACACACAGGATGTGGAGTTCCTGAGGACTCCTGACTTTGAGAATAACTAATATCGACACAACAGTCTTAACAGTACAAAACAGAGGATGGAAAAGTGTGATAACCGAGTTTTTGTCTGAGTAGTTCCTAGGAGTTGCTGTTAATTTTACTTTATTAAAACTCTATCATGCCTGAGAGAGTGAATAAGAAAAAAAAGATGCAAGGCCTATCCTAAAATAGCTCATGGTTTAGAAGGAAACAAAACAAAACAAAACAAAACAAAAAAACAAGGATAATGAGAAAGTTAATCACAGTAGAGGGCTATGGAACACAGGAGAGGGGCACTTATCCCCCCCCCCTCAGGGGGAATGAGTAGGGAGCTTCTTGGGGGAGGTAATAACTGAGCTCAGCCTGCCAGGCACAGGAAAAGGCCACACAAAGCAGAGGGTTCTATCTACAAAGACATAGCAGCATGTCACAAGAGAGCACCAGAGGTTGAATCTCATTCAAATTCAACTCGTGTTCCAAAAGATAAAATCATACACACCACACTAATCATAGGAGGCAAAAACTGAGACAACCTTGTAAAAACCTATACATTATAAATGTGCAACTGTGAAAGTTGCCTCTGTTCCAGGTACCAACACAGTGTGACAAAGAAGAGCTAAGCAAGGAGTCAGCATCAGAAAAGAAACACTTCCAGTCCCCAAATCCTACCTCGCTCCTAGTCAGGGGACTGGCCTCTGGATTCTAAAGCAGGCTGAGTGAGATAATCTGCCAGTCTTGAGCTAGAATGAATCATGCATAAAGATGTTTTTAGCAACTCACCACTAGGTAACCAATGCTGAGATTGCAATTTGGGGCTGGGACAGGGGCCAGCAGTCACAGCATTGGGTTGGGCATGCTGATAAGACAGTGCTCAGAACTGCAAAGAGGTACCAGCAGGGCCTTTTCTTATGCCTATTTCAGACTCTTCTCTGCCCCAACCTAAAGCCAGCCAGCAAGCAGACACCCACCCCAAGGGCCTCAGGAGAAAGGTGGAAAAAAGCTTCCCCTACTTCAACTGACTTTCTGTGCCACTGCATGCTTTGAGGATTGCCTGGAATCCAAGATGAGATCCAAGGCTTTCAAGCTTCACATCAGCCTGGGAAATCTTTGTTCACAACTCACCAGGAAGCCCAACAGATGAAAGTGAAGCTGTTTTGCTCTGCAGCAGCTAGGGCTCCATCGAGCACTGAATCTGAAACCCATTCAGCCCCTCACAAGCTGTCTGCCCTGCATGCTGGGCAGACCTGTGGCCCAGTTGCTTTCCTGAATATCAGCAGCACCAAAACCACATTATCAAGCCTCCTTCCTGCTTAAATTTAGTAACAATATTTGAGGCATGATTAAAGGAACTTCAGATTCTATCTTGTATTTCACCACATATAAGTATATGTGTGTATGATCTGTACACACACACACAAACACACATGGCCCTCTCTTTGCGGTCCCCTTAAGAGAGTAACAAGAGTCTTAAGGTACATAAAATGTCCTCAATCGTTTCTGTCAGATCAGCTAGTTCTGCCCTCTAGGTGCCAGGGGAGAAGTCTTAACAACAATTGAAATATGGCTAATGACTCAGGCTAAATGGCTAGTAGAAGGAAATAGAATCCCTTGCAGTTTTTAAAACACCAAGCCAACCATAAAATCTCAAAGAAAAGAAAGCCCATTAGAAAGCAATATAATCCTATCAACTCAGTCTGAGAAGGCTACTCTTAACTATTTGCTAGAAGAGCACGGCAATGACAATAGATGACTTACTATTCCTCTAAGTCTTATATGCATCATTTGGATAACCCTTAGCACAGAGACATGAAATCAACTCCTAGTGCTAGTCACTAATCAACCACTACTATGTACCCATGACCTGGATCATTCTGTGCCTGTTTCTTTATTGTTAAAAAAGGGACAACGACCCCTGCTCCTAGTTCCCTTCCATGCCAACAGAGTGAAAGGCCAGGTAATGTTACGTAAAAATACTTCAAGTTGGAGGTCAGGTGGTTTAAACAGATAAAGTACTGTCGGCCTCAGTAAGCCGTGCTGGTCTCCAGGAGAAAGGACAGGTATTTGTGCTGCTGCCGCACATGCAGAGCCCTGGATTCTGCCAAGTCAGCAACGGTGACTCGGTAACAACAGGCGCCCGCGTCCCACAATATGCTGCTGGCAGTGATGCCCCTCCTACATGCTCAGCCTGCCTCTCCTTTTGCTTCTCATTTCTCCTTGGTGAGCTCCTTGGCACAGACCTCCTCCTTTTAATCATTTACCACTCTTCCTTTCTAGCGTCTGGGCGTCAAGTCCTAATGCTGTCCTTTCCTTCCGTGATCCTGCTGCCAGTGGAAAGCCCTAAAATGTAAATATGGCCATCCTGCTTCTCTGCTTGAACTCATCAAGGCCTCCTACCTGTCTCTGATCTACATACAGTACTAAGGGCCAAATACCTTAGCTGACATTCAAGAATCTACATTATGTGACTTCCTACCACCCAGGGCTTATCTCCCACTGCTCCTTAAATTAGACCCTAACACCCCACCAGGTTCATCCACCTGGCATACCACAACTTGTGGGACCACTCGGGCTCTGGGGCTTTAGTTCATGTTGGAAATTACTCCTCCTAAAACCCCGACCGACGTCCCTTTCCTGACCAGGCCTCCTCTGTGTAGCTACAGTCCCTAGCACACACATGTAGCGCTGCACTCAACATAGTAGTAGTATAGCCACATGCTCCTTCTCCTACATACAGCTCCTGAGAGGCGGGGACCTACCCTTGCAGTGGACTCTCAGTACTGGAATCACTAGTTCATGTAATTTTATTCATGGAACGACTATTTACCATGTATTAGGCTGTTCTAATGAGAACAACAAACATACAAATGAAATGAGGTCATAAATCCAAATTACGAGTTGTTGTAACTGCTGTGAAGGAAACACAAAGGAGTGAAACAGAATCATTAGCCTGAGGGGCGGGGACCGACTCTGGAAGATGGGGAACCACGCATGTAAAACGTGAAGCGCTCTGAGAGATGGTGAAGTGCATTCCAGGAAGAAGGAACAACACATACGAAGGCCTGCGGGTGGGGAAGAACTGCTCGTTCAGGCATTAAAAGACGGCAAGTCTTTTGGCTGAAGAGTCCTGAGAGAGACAAGGAAAAATTGTTCATCTGAAAATGTTTTTGGGGAAATAGAGAGCGCAGTGGTCGAGGATCCTGCTTGGCACAGTAAGAGGCTGAATTTTATTCTAAATGCAACAGGAAGCCATCTGAAGGTTATAAGCAGTAGTTAAATGATGTACCTTAAGCTTTAGCAAACAGCCACAGAACAACTCCATCACAGGCCAGCACCCCACCCAAAGGCTGTACCTCTGCCTGCCAAGCCAGGGTAGAAGCAGAGAGGGCGGACGTTCGGCCTGCTCCGAGAACAGCGATTGTTTCCCCATCATCATCCACCACCTTGAAATCCAGGTCCTCATTGTATTTCCTGCGCTTCACCTGCCGTCCAGAGCGTCGTTTCTGCAGGACAAAGACACCGTCAGAGAGAGAAGCTCTGTGCATCACAGGTAGAAGTCTGTACAAGAACACCCTCAACCATACTCACTAACATGCAAAGGAGACCTTTCTTACTTTACGAAAGGAATCTTCCTCAAACACAACTCTTTTAAGAACTAAATTCACTCAAAACGGGACCCAGATGAGGGAGGGAATCCAAACTGCCAGGAACTGAGAAGGCACAGTCTGAGAATCCAGTGAGATGTGTTTTATTCATCAAAGGCAGTAACTTCTCACCTCCTTTCTAGCACTGGTTCCTACTTCAGTAAAACAGAGATGGGAGGAAAACTCCATCATCTTTGAGGTCCCTTCTAGCATAGCTGGCAGCTCTGATTTTATGACAATGGTACGAGAGTTGACTTCGGTTTTGCTTGAGTTCATGATACCTGCCATATAATGCCTAAAAACCTAAGTAATATCAATTTAATTACAATCTGGTAGTACCCCCTGAAATGCAAGGAGACATCTTAAGGGTGACAAAACAAGACTCATGAGTCACCATCTGAGGACTCATCTATAATTAAGAAGCTTATGACCTTTTACAGATAACATTCTGCAACAAAGCAGCCCAGTGGCTCTCTTCCAACAGAAAACACACAGTCCGTCTCCATGTACACATCACATCCAAGCAGCAGAAACACACCGGGAGCCAGTCACCAGCTGGCTCACTCTCAAATACTTAAAAAAAAACAAAAGCAAAACCCCATCTCCCTTATTTTTTAAAAGACATCTCCTGGGCCTCTCTCGGTGTTCCTAGCATTTCTTTATTATGTCACCTCTGTAACATTCAGTTTTATGTGAGGGATCAAGCCTATATAAAAAACCTCCTACCCAATCTCACATAAAGATCTCCATCCTAGAAACACTTACCCCCCCCCCACTGCCATCAACCAGCAACCTGATGTGCCTCTGCCTCTGCCAATCAGGACATCTAGTAGTCACAAGCCCAAATTTACAGGCAGTGAGGGGGTCTTGGCTCTGACACCCCCACACTACTACTTATTACCACTATGACATGAGGAGCCGACACCTTCCAGCAATGACTACCACCCAGACATCTCTGAGGATCCAGCTGATAAGTGACATTGTAGTGCATTGGTCTTATTCTAAGTGGTCCCCGTGCAGCCACACAGCCCAGATAAACTGCTGTGGATGTCACAGAAGCGAATGCTTTCAAATCCCAGAACTCACACCCAAGAGAGGCTGCTTCAACTCAGGGAGAACATTCCTACCAATGTCGTAGGCACACTCTGGCACATTTTTAGGAATCCCATTTAGGGGGGCAACTCCTTTTGTTCACATTTAGTCAAACTTTCCTTCCTGTTTTTGGCACAATAAAGACACCCCTGGTTTTTCCAGCACCTGAGATTATGAAAATGCCCTTATGCAAAGACTGGCCCATCTCTGAGTCCTTCCCAAATACATTAACTACATGGCAAAACAGGGCCCCAAGCCTTAACTAGCATAGCTCACGATTCCACTTGCCCCATTCACTCTCTCACTGCTGAATATGCTGCTTTCCAAGAAGGAAGCAAGCTCCACTAAAAAACTGGAGATTGTTTTATACTAATAACCTTATACTAAAATCCAGGGTGCTAGGGAAAAGGCCTGTGGTCTTTTGGTGCTCACCCACCAGAACCGTGAAAGCCCAGCCCAGATCTGTGCACAAGGGGTGCAGGCTTGAGAGAGGGACAGAGGAGCAACAGGATCAGCATCTGCAAGATCCCACCTGGCAAGCGCAACCTCCACCAGGGCTCCCGGCCACAGCTGTACCTGGCTGTCTGTAGACTCAGTGGATTCCTCAGGACTCCGCAGGGATGGGTTCGACAGGCCCTGATCCAGCTCTAAACTCTCCACTGTGGTTTCACTTTTCCTTTTTCCTTTCTTCTTTTTCTCCACTGGGGTTGGTCCTTGCTCCTTGCTACAAGGAGAAATTCAGAATTAAAACTGTTGGGCAGTTTTTAAAACTAAGATTTCTCAAGTTATGATATCACACCCTGGAATTCCTGGACCAGGGAAGGCTTTAAAGGAGAATCTACAGTAGTTTCTTCCCAGAAATATGCAAAAAAAGGGGAAGAAACAGCTACACGAATTGATGTACAACTCACTTTTTACACCCCTACCATGACAACTATGGCTATGATTAATGTGGTAAGAAATAAAACAGCATGAACACCGTCAAAACACTTACAGTTAATAGAAATGCCTTCTCTAGGAGATGTAATTGCTTTGCAGATACTGAAAATCATCAAATTTCAGTCTCCTTTTAAGTTACGTGGGAGGTGACAGCTCTCTAATCTGTCATCATCCTCTATTGAGAATGGTCTATGTATAAGACTTGAAGTAAGTACCAAAAACTCAAAAATGAAGACAACACTGTCCCTGCCCTTGAAGTTACAATTATGAAAATTCCAAAGACCATGCAGAGCCACAGCCCAAAGAAGTAGATGGAAGCTTCCTGAGAGGTGGAGATGGGCTCAGTGCATCCATCCCACCACCCTGCTAAGACTGCCGTTTTCACGGCTAGTGTTTCCAACATCTCCTCTGAAAACCCTTTCCTGACCCCCCTAGCTGATGGAATCTCTTTCCTACACTCCCAAAGCGTTTCAACTTTTCTTTAAGGTACCCAAACTCTGATCTGTCACCAAAGTTAGTCATTAAACTATGACACCAGCCTCAGAACAATATAGTGCCTGGTTCCTCTGCAGTTGCTCGATAAACATTTGCTGAATGAATGCTGACTATTTTACATTGTGCTTTTCCTAGAGGACAATATATGCTTAATTAAGTTTGATATTTCTCACAGTGATCAATCTTACATCTTATAGAGTAAGTTCTCAATAAATACTGACTAAATCTAGACATGGATATACCAACTGGTGAATTACTTATCATAAGGGAGATACGGGAAAACGCCCAAGTGGAGATATACATACAACTCTGACAGAAAGAAGACAGGAAGGGCTATCGCCATTCTCGTCATTAACACTTCTATGACCACACAGGCAGGCACAGTTCTCTAAGTCCTCTACATGGATTACCTCCTTTACACCTCACAACTGCCTTATAAGGCAGACAGTCTTATTATTCTCATTGTATTAATAGGCATAGTGAGGTTCAGTTAGATTTCCAGGGTAACATGGCGAGTGATCAGTGGAGAAAGGACTTGAACCCAGGAATGCTTTTAACCACAACAGTCCTGGGGAATGGAAGAGTGTTAAGGGCACATTTAGTAAAAGACAGTCTGTGCAGCTGTGTGACAAGGAAATGAACAGAAGCATTAAGGGACAGGCTGGAAAGAAATCAGGCGCACACCAGCCCAGAGTTCAGACCTCGTTCCGTGTGAGAGGGCTACCACGGCACATCCGCACCAGAAGGAATGAAGGCTAGACATAATCAATGGAAACTCAAAGGTGAAAATGATTTTAAAGATCCAGCTGAAGCAGAACCAGTAACTCCTGGCAAGTGACAGAAGGTGGAGGATGAGGAAGGGCCAAAATTATTAGTATTTCCCATCAGGTGAGTTACTGGAAGGTGTGGGGGGAAGGAAAAGCGAAACCCAGCACAATGAGCTTGTGGCAGGAATACCAGCCTGTGATGAACCGGCCTGCTCCTCTTCAACACTCTTCACCCATCACAAAAGTTCTTTATGAAAATGATTTTGGTCCAACGTGAGGCAATGAAATTTAAGGGTTCCTGCCACGTTAGAGAACTTACATTTTAATAGAGGCTTGCACTCTCAAGCAGGGGTAAAAAGCAAAACTTCTCCCACTTACCAGTTCAGGACGGGAGACTCAAGTGAAACAGTTTTAAACATTGATCAATTTTCACAGGAATATTTATCTCATGTTATATGACTTCTCACTAAGAAAACTATAAAGCAATTTATATTCTACAAAGCACTTTTGCATTCCAAGTCTCTTCTGACTGTTAAAACCTCGACTCTGTGAGGGAGCCAGAGCAGATGAGTCTTGTATTTCCAGAGGAAGAAACAGGTTCAAAAGCAGCAAAGGCCCCGAAGCTGGCAGCAGGCAGGGCCGCCCTCCGCGCACCAGACCGACGCCCACAGCCTGCTGCCTTCCAGACCGCGCCAGGTCTCCTGACGCCCCTTTTAAACTCGGCTCCCTTTCATAAATGTAAAACTTCAAATTTCCTTTAATACTATTTGAATCTCAAAATAATGACCGAAATAATCAGCTACAAACATTTCAATGACCCCAAATGCACAAATCTATAGCTGTTGATGGATTTTATGGACCTCTTAACAAAAGCAAGTTTGTACTTAAATTGTGGACACAAGTTTCAAGATAGCTGATCAATATGCCAAAAGTTATAATGATCACGTGCTCAGGGTTCCATTTAACTGTAAAATCTTAAATCCTTCCTCACAGCATTTGAAATCAATTCCATCTATCTAATAAATATAACTTCATCGTATTAAAAAGCTTTGACCGTGTATGTTTCATCTTCATATGCTAGACATATGTGCTTCACCATGAAACATCATACCCAACAGTAAATAAGCTCAAGCCACAATTAAGGAATAGAACCTCCTGAAAATATGAAACTTTACTACCAGACTTGTATATATTTACCTTTCATGTTTTCAGAAATCCATTAAGTAATGGACATAAGCAGCAGCCATTAAGAGAGGCACTTCCAAGGTCAAGTCTGAGGCATGACTATATTTTTCTAGCCAGGGGCTGGGGACAGGATGGAGCAGAGAAAACACCTTCTCAAATATATGTCAGTAAAATAGGAAAATGACTGGTGAAACTGCTCACTTATTTGGGGATAAATAAGAAGATACTCCACCTGGGAAATCTCCAAAGTGATTTTCTGGAGGTTACTTTTGGCAACAAAATCAATTTTGAGTTCCAAAAGTTCTTCCTGGAACTCTTCTGATAAAGATAAATATCAGGAAGAAAAAAATTCCATGTAAAGCTTATAGATAGGATTTTCAAACAGGACATCAGTAAAATATCACCTAAATTCATCCTCCAGAACTAGATAAAACATGTTTTTTTCCCCTCTTTGGAATAAGTTTTAAAAACTTATGCTTGAGAGTTTTACCAAATGAAGATATTTTAACCTCAAAATTGCTACACCCACAGATAGATTTGGTCCATGAATGCTTGTTTGATCCTTAAAGCTCCAAGTTTTTCAAAAATAGTGGCTAAGTAATGTGTAACAAAATGGTGTATGCATATACATTTTCATCCAGCAATTCCGTTTATGGAAATATACTCTAAAGACACCCCCCAAAATATTAATCTACACATACATGAGGTTATTCACTGTAGCATAATTTGGTTATTGCAAAACAATGGAAACTATCTAAATGTCCAAATGTATGTGACTGAATAAGTTAGGATACATATTATGGAGTGCTAGGCAGCCATAAAAACAATGAAGAAAGAATTCTATGAACTGATACAGAACAGTTTCAGAGATAGTGTTAAGTAAAAAATGAAACATGCAAAAAAGTATGTGACTTTTTGTGAAAGAATAAAGGGAAAATAAAATATGCACATGTCAATTTATATTACAAAAGGAAGCTCAGGAAAGATAAACCAAAACACAGTGACCGTCCACAGGGACAGGTGCAGAGAAGGGGTGGAAAGAATCCATACAGGGAAGTGACACTTCTCTGAGGATATCTTTTTACATGAATTTGACTTTTGGAATCATGTTAAAATTCTCCATACTAAAATTTGTTTAAAACTAAGGTGAAAACAACCTGAAATAAAATGAATCTAAGTGTGGTTCAAACAAATAATGTAACAACATTGAATCAAGGGAAAAAATACCTAATTTATGAACATAATATTTGATTAAATACACTCAGCTTTTGGGAACTGTGGGGAGAACAGCAAACAAATCCTGGCCTCTTTTTGGAAGACACACAGATAAAGCAATTCTGAAGTCACTTTAGATGTGGTCCAGGATTCCACAAATGTGTAAATGTGCCGACACTGGGAGCAGGGCTCCCCCTGAGGAAGGGGGAAGATGTAAGTACGAAATGTTATAGGGCCCGGGCAATACTGTGGGATGTGTCTAAGTCGGAGGCATCTGTGTGAACTCAGGTTTTCTAAAATAAGTGTATGGATTGACATGTGCATATAAATGTGCACACATATCATGAATGTATTGTGTGTACATATGTGCATACACACATACATAAATCTCACTCCTCCTAGGTTATAAAGCCGTTAAGCTGTGAGTCTATTGTTGTACGCAGCTAAGATTCAACGTAGTTGTGAAGGATGGAACCGATACCCCCAGAGACACAGGAAGGGCAGCAGGTAAAGAACTCTGGGGGGCTCCTCAACTATAACTCCCGGTCCTGATTCCTTAGGCCAGGAAAACCCCTCTTACCATTTTTTAAAAACTTAATTTATGTCACTTGTAACCAAGAGAGTTCTGAATACAACAAAGGCCTAAACCCTTACCACATAATGGCACTTGATGCTGAATCAAAGCAATCTTATTTTTATAATTCTCTTTTGTAGCTTTCAGAGTTAGAACTGACTAACTTGCAGGACAGAAAACGTGGCAGACTAGATTTTTTAGGCTCCAAGTATTTTCTTTTTGGCAACAAAATCAAACTTGACTTTATAATAAAACAAATATATGCTTTAAAGAAAGCATGTATTTATGACATGCAAGAAACTTCTGACACATGAACTACACCCTCCCAGCAGGACGACTATCAGGCACGAGCAATGTCGACTTACTTGTCTCCTCCAGTCTTCACATTGCTTCATTAACCAAGATTCTGTGCAGATTTCACTCTCTGCAGTTTTGACTAGGTAAATAAGTACCTTTTTTGACTTCCAAATGAGAAATTACATAATGGTATTAAAGCATTAGCTAGATGGACTTCCCCAAACTGTCCTCCCAGCCTACCTCCAGTTCTGC